ATCCATTTTGAATAGCGAGTTCAAGGCCAAGAACGGACTTGACAAGGTCATCGTCCTCTGGACTGCCAACACCGAGCGTTACGCCGACATCATTCCTGGCGTGAACGACACCGCCGAGAACCTGATTAACGCGATCAAGTCGGGCCACCCGGAGGTTTCTCCTTCCACTGTCTTTGCCGTGGCCTCGATCCTGGAGAATGCCCCCTTCATCAACGGTTCTCCTCAGAACACTTTCGTCCCTGGTGCCATTGATCTGGCCGAGAAGAACAACGCCTTCATTGGTGGCGATGACTTCAAGTCTGGTCAGACCAAGATGAAGTCGGCGCTCGTCGACTTCCTCATCAACGCCGGTATCAAGTTGACTTCCATTGCCAGCTACAACCACCTTGGAAACAACGACGGCAAGAACTTGAGCTCCCAGAAGCAGTTCCGCTCCAAGGAAATCTCTAAATCGAATGTTGTTGACGACATGGTCGCTGCTAACACGGTCCTGTACAAGCCGGGTGAGCACCCCGACCACACCGTCGTCATCAAGTACATGCCGGCCGTCGGTGACAGCAAGCGTGCGCTCGACGAGTACTACGCCGAGATTTTCCTGGGTGGCCACCAGACTATTTCTCTGTTCAACGTCTGCGAGGACTCTCTGTTGGCCTCGCCGTTGATCATCGACCTTGTTATCGTGGCGGAGCTTATGACTCGTGTTGGTTGGAAGAAGGAAGAGTCCCAGGACTACAAGGGCTTCCACAGCGTGCTGAGCATTCTCAGCTACATGCTCAAGGTATGTTTCTCTGATAACCATGCCATGTTTAAAGAAGACACTAATCATATTTTTCTTCATCAGGCCCCGTTGACTCCTCCTGGTACTCCGGTGGTTAACGCCCTCGCCAAGCAGCGTGCTGCGTTGACCAACATCTTCCGTGCCTGCGTGGGTCTCCAGCCCGAGTCCGACATGACCCTGGAGCACAAGCTGTTCTAGGCGAATCCCTTTCTGCGTTCTTTGAGAATGTCCTCCATCTGTGACAGGATGGGATGTTCACTTTGAATGCTCCGCTTGGCAGGAGCTTTTCCATGGTGCCTGATTGTGTTTTCCCTCTGGTACCTGTACAGTTCTTGCTTGGTAATGATTGATATTCATGACGCTTTTGCTTTGATGATTTGTGAAACATGCTCACCCAAGTCTATCACTTGATCTGTCTTAGATAGGCAGTTAGGATTAGAAAAATGGGATTTGAATTCAAGTCTCTACAGTTGTTGCTATTTTTTCTCGTAAAAGAATCTCGTAACAGAAGAAAAAGTGACCGGAAGATGGAGAGATGGTGGAGTTCGAATTATACCCAGGCAAATCCGACAGTACTTGTAAAAAAGACAACTTAAGGAACAGCATTATTAGTACCAAATGCGTGAACAGTGGGTAGGCGAGGGGAAGTAAGCATGGAGTCTATCTTGTACGTAGGTAAAGCGATGAGGTGAGGACCCTGGGAGTTCTGGTGGCAGCCCACCGGATACTTAAACAAAGGAAAGAGCAACCTCGACATCTTGCAGAGCTACCCAACCTCACCTTGCAACCTGTAAGCACTCCAATGTTGCCTACTTCAAGAAACGCTCTACTGCCTGCTCTTTATCTTCAATTTCGACGTCGTATGATTTCATTTTACTTGCTTTAGTCCTACCACTGGTAGTCCTTCGCTCAAATACATACAGACATGTCCACTGTCGGTCGTGATCGGTCAATTTCATTCAACTCCCGAGAGTAAGGAAGAAAAGAACCTCCAATTTTACATCATCATCATGATTTTGGTATCAATTGACCATTTGTTCGAATGACCGATTTCTCTCCATGGCCTTGGAGTCGATACTGCACGAAATCGTGCAATGGAAGCTACGATGAAGCACTGCAATCAATTTACTGCCTCGTGTCGACCACGCAGCGGATGCAGTCACCCTGCTTCATCTGCTCAAAAGCATTGTTGATGTTCGCCAGAGGCTCCCGGTGCGTGATGAATTCGTCGACCTTGAGCTTGCCGTTCAGGTAATCCTCAACGAGGCCGGGAAGCTGAGAACGGCCCTTGATACCACCGAAGGCACATCCCTTCCACACACGACCGGTAACCAGCTGGAACGCTGTTCCCACTCAGTCAGTACCTATTTCTAAGGTGTTGTGAAATGCCTGACAGGAAAACTTACGTCTCGTAGAAATCTCCTGACCGGCAGCGGCGACACCGATGATGATACTCTGACCCCAACCCTTGTGGCAGGCCTCGAGAGCAGCACGCATGACTCCGACATTGCCAGTGCAGTCGAAGGTGTAGTCGCATCCACCGTCTGTCATTTCGATGAGCTGCTCCTGGACACTCTTGCCGTTGAGCTTAGTCGGGTTGACAAAGTCCGTCGCACCGAATTTGCGAGCCCATTCTTCCTTCTTGTCATTGACGTCGACCACGATGATCCTGCCCGCCTTGTTCTGCACTGCACCCTGAATGACGGACAGACCGACACAGCCGGCGCCAAACACGGCCACATTGGATCCCTCCTCAACCTTAGCGGTAACGACAGCCGCACCATATCCGGTCGTGATACCACAACCCAGCAAGCAAGTACGGTCGGTGGGAGCCTTGGGAGTCACCGCTACCACTGAGATGTCCGCAACGACGGTGTATTGGGAGAAGGTCGAGGTACCCATGAAATGCAAGATGTCCTGGCCGCGGGCCCTGAAGCGGGTGGTGCCATCGGGCATGAGACCCTTTCCTTGCGTAGCCCGGATCTTACCGCACAGGTTGGTCTTTCCGGACTTGCAGAACTTGCATTCACGGCACTCGGGGGTGCTGTCATACCATTAGTCCGTTGAAACAACATGAGAAGACAAGGCAGGTCTTCATACTAGAGCGCAATGACGTGGTCGCCAGGTTTGACGTTAGTCACGCCCTCTCCAACAGACTCAACAATACCGGCACCCTCGTGACCCAGGATGACGGGGAACGCGCCTTCCGGGTCCTTGCCGGAGAGCGTGTATGCATCTAAAATGACATCTTCATTCAGCAGAGTCCCAAGGGAATAACAATGACAGCAATGAATACTCACCCGTGTGGCAGACACCAGTGTGGTAGATCTGGATACGCACTTCATGGGCTTTGGGAGGGGCAACCTCGACGTCCTCGACCGAGAGGGGTTGACCGGCACCCCACGCGATGGCGGCCTATTAAAACTCAGTCTTTCTGTGACCTACAAAGGCATTTCGCCTCTCCTCTGGTTGGGGTCTGTATGAGAGATCACTGTGCTAACCTTGCAGGTAATGGTCTGTTATTGTCAGCAGCTGCAGGACAAGCATAATAATGACGTGAACACGTGAATAGGAGAACTCACCTTTCCGGCAGTGCTTGCCATGGTGACTACCTAGGTGCTCAAGGTTGTATGGAGGAAACAGCGGATGGTTTTGCTTCTCACAGGCTGAACCAAGAGGAGAAGGAAGAAGGAGAAGGAAGCGGATGGTTACGGAGGGGAAGAAATGATTACAAGACGACACTGGGTGATCAGATAGAGAGCTACGACTTATATAAGAGGCTTACAGAGGAAAAATGGGACACTGTGGGGAAACCCGATGAGGAGATACGACACGGCAACACCTCAGTGTGAGGGGAAAAAACGAACAAGAAGCCTCCTGGCAATGATGATTGAATAGCGGGGTAAACCCAGGCGGAAGATGGAAGCAATGAGGGGCAAACGGCTGGAATACAAGAAACGTTCCGATACCTAGGTAGCAAAAAGAACAGTGTTCCCCTCACAGGAATCAGAAATCCCAGGCCGCTTCCGACAGAGTTACTGGCATATCCGATCCGACAGTCGTATGGGGCCAATAAAGAGGAAGTCTCTAGCAATGAAAACCCTGCTACAAGGAAAGCATTATTCATCTTTCGGAAACTTTTGGACACCCCAGCTGCCATAGCAAAGCCGCGGCGACCATGCCTTTTTCGGATGAATGAGGCACGAGCAGCATCATCAATTTCTGAGGGATGCAATCTGCCCCGAGTGTTTTTTTTCTTGTTTGCAATTACAGAATGGAATTCGCAACAAGAAAACTACCCCAAATCAATAATTCAAGAATCGAAATATTCTAGAATGGTACAGGATAGATTCTGTATCCTATACAGTTTCCTAGATCGAGCGAATCTTTGACGTATTATTATTAATTAATAGGAGGCATCTCCACTTTCGATGTGTGTATGTAATACGTAGGAGTAGACTGTAGAACTGCTGGTCCTCATGCACCGATTAGGCAATATTTTCCGCCCCCCAGGGCCTTTTATTTATCGTCATCGCTATTTATCGTTATCTAGGTAGGTATTTACCTAGATAGACGGCGACCGCTACTGATGGCTATATACGGACAGGAAAAAAAAATTAATTTATTTACGACGCACCTGAGTGATTTCTCGACAAATACGTACGTATATATTGAGATTTACAAGGCTTGTTAATACGGGCGCACTTTTCGGCAGTTGTTCATGAGAACCTGGACATCATAGATCTATGCCGAGAGTACAGTACACAAAGGAAAAATGACAGATGGCAGGAAGAAGAAGCCCAGGCCAGGACACTGCAGCAAATTACCGAAAGCTGCTTCGAGCAGACTTAGATTCGAGACAGCCGAGCTTGGGCTTGGACCGGGAAGGATATCTGCGTGCCCCCTTCTAGAAAAGAAGGAATGTCTTCTTCTAGAGCTTCAGCTTCTCTCTTCCTTTCCAGTTCAGGAAAAGAGAGAACGGTTTCGTCTCGTCGATTGCTGGTCGGATCGGAAGAAGTTCAGTTTGTGTGTCATCGTATTCGGTGTTAGACTGTATTTATTTCCAGAGAATCTTATTCTAATCTGCTAGCAGGTGAGAGAAGACGTGATATAATGCAAAAGAAAGGCCTTCCCAGCCTGTACAGAAACATAACTTTAACGAATGAAGTGAGCTCGAATTAAATGCATATGCTATTCTGTATTTGGGCAGACTGACAAGGAAAGCTGTCTGAGGGCTGGAAAGACTTGTTTCTCACCACCGTGGGGAAGCTTTGAGATGAATAAATGAATAATCAGGTACTGGTCTCCAGTGAAGAAGATCTAGCTCAAGGTGAACCTGTCGAGGAAGATTTATTCAGGAATCGCAATATCCTGTCAGACAAAATCACCAGAACCAGGTACTACTCATAGGGCTAATTCGCTTAGGCTGCCACAGGGCAGCTCGTACTATATAGTCTCGAAGATTGCGACCAGCAGGAATTTCATAACATTATCGGCATGGTGATTGCCATTTTCTTATTATCGTCTGGTATCATGCTCTGAAACCCGAATACCAACCATCACCCTAGTAGATGCCAGACCTGCTTTAGGCATGCAGGAAAACTTCTGGTAAGGACCTATTATACATAGAGAACAGGAAGAGTAGAGGAAAAAAAAGCATCAAGCGGGCCCCTTATGAGCTTTGCCCATTGTTGAACCCTGTATCTCACTCATCAGGACTTGGATCCTGACTTCGTATGATAACCCATGATACCTCGAGGGGTGAGTGCCCACCACACTGACCAGCGAGAACCTCGACCCATATGAAACGTTTATGATTTACCAGGAAGCTGGCCGCTCTGCATCATGGCGGCGTTCTGCTCCTGGAAGCGCTCCCCGAGGCGTGCGGAGCTCTTGAGATGCTTGTCGACGCAGCGAAGCACACAGCCTTCTTCGCGGGAGACGAGGGACTTGGTGGTGAAATCATTGACACAGTCATCAAAGCATTTCTGCACGAGACGAGAGTACATCTGAGCACGAGAACCACCCGGTCAGTTTCAATGGTTGCTTTCAACGGTTTTTTTTTCTTCCTCCGAAAAATAGGAACCTGCCAGAAGTATCGCCGAAAAATCCAAATCCCAAAGATCTTGGGGGATTGCAATGGGCAGACACCTTTTCCGGACTGACTGGATTTCGGATCGGAGCAAGGAAGTCATACCGTCATAAATTCCTTCATCTGTTTTCTCTCCATGCGAGCGGCCAGCTCGCGCTGCTCGGAAGCATTCAATCTAGCCGCAAATCAGCACATGTCCCTACCAGGGCCCCAGGGCAATTTATTTATTTTTTGTCCAATGACTTACGCATCCATTGTGATCTAAATTAAAAGAAACCAATTGAAAAAGGAGAAAAATATGAAGATGGAGCAGTTGTTGGTCTGTTGCTGGCTGTCTGAATTTCCTCGGAGCTCTTGCGGACCTCAAGCTCTGCACTGCACCGTGATTCGGAACAACTTGACGCTCCGGAGTCACATGACTTTGATGGAGATGGATGCCATTTCGTCACATGATGTAATCATATGACAACACGTGACCCTTCGGAAACAGGCAGCCGGGTGCGACAGGGCGCTGCTCTCGGCGTTGGCTGCATCTCGCCCCCCAAAGCGGCAGAGGAGCTTCGATTGGAAGCCTGAACACCTAATTCCGAGCAGGACCGGATGCCATTTGCGAAGAGGGGGTTCAGAGCCACAAGAAGTAGTTCATGGACGGGAGAGAATACACGCTGAGTACGGTACGAGGTCATTTTGCTGGAAATACCCAGCCGTAGGCAGGCTTCTGGACTCCGTGGACTGGGTATTATCGTCCCGAGGACACTGGAGACTCTCAGGTACGCATATTTGGGTTCCATTCTGCTATTAGTGGGAGTCTGGAGACGGTCTAGAAGCCCAGTGCAGCGGGCATAGTTCTGCTGTAGCCTGTTGGACCGTTCCACTAACTCGCGGAGCGGGCTTCTCTTCCTTCTGGGGTTCCTTGGAACCTCCAGGTCCTAAACCCATTCCAGGGACTGTTCACGGTTGTGCCGCTGGGGCTCAGGCTGCTAATAATAATAATTGCCCGCCGTCACGCCTCCAGTGGGTGCCGTAGAGGGTCCAACGGGCTCTGGTGCCGCCCACAGCGCAGGATTCAGCAGCCCCTAGGGAGTCTAGGCGGTCCCAAGGGCCCCGGAGCAAGCCATGCCCCAGCCCTGAGGCCAGCCTGTGACTCTTCGCTTCCCCGTGACCTGCGGTGTCAGACAGCATCCATCCTGAAGATTCACCACGCTGGACCGCGCCCACACGCACTCTTTTCATCCTCGCCTGTCCATCTTCACCTCTCGCGCTCCCTGCATCATCCAAGCTGTCGAACGCTCCATCCACCCTTGGCAGCCGGTCTCGTTTGGAGACACCAGGCGACGACGTTCGCCGTCGCCGCTGTCCTGGGCAATCGAGACTTGTGACTATTCACTTCGATCGCGCCCACCTTTCCATCCACCATCGTCGCCGCGTTCCAACCTCCCTTTCTCCTACCAGATCCTGTCCCTCATCCGATGCCAACGCCTCTATTGTCCGACATCCACACCGTCCTTCGCTCTGAGTACGGATACCTCGTTGCGGCGGTCCATTGCTGGAGTCGTCCCAACGTGTCTCATCTCACTTGAGGTGCTATTTTGGGATCGCCTCCAGCCACAGCCCGCGGTGTCTTCTCACGACCAACTACGAGCAGTCCGGACCGTCACAGAATCTGAAGGCCTGAACCACAGTCTCAGATAATCCCTAATCGCTCTACCCCGATCATCAGTCTGCCGCATCGTGCTCTTGTGACCCTTCCTCGTCCATCATGGCGACAGGCAGCTCACAGCCTCTGTCGGCGCATCAAGATGTGCAGACTGTTTCTTCAAGAAATGCTCAGACATCGTCGCAAGCGGAGCCTACCCCTCCAGCCGCCCCCACGAAACGAGATCTTATATCCTGGTGGAAGCAGTTCAAGCGTAACACAAAGAAGGAGGAAGAGAATAAAGGTACGTTCCCTTCTGGTGACATCGCTGCATATGTCGCTGTGGGACTGCACTTTCTCCCAAACCATGTGGCACTTTAGTGTCGTGTTCATTCATGTCTGCTGCTCCGTCAAAAGGGATGGCGCCTTCTGACTGGGCCATCTCTCTTCATTCCCCGCTTCCTGGAACTATTATCTGAAATCCACTCTATTGTCACCGCTTCGTGTCGGGGATTGTCTTTCTATCGTTTGCTTACTAGTCTAATAGGTCTGCAAAAACGTGGTATCTTCGGGGTTCCACTCAACGTCAGCATCAAATATGCGAATGTTGCCATTTCTCTCACCAATGACAAGGGTGAGAGCTTCATTTACGGCTATGTGCCCATTGTTGTCGCAAAGTGTGGTGTCTTCTTGAAGGAGCAAGGTAAGCTCCCTGTGTCCTCCATACCTGTGCTTGTCTCCTCGTGATGTACACTGGATGCTGATTAGCGAATTGCAGCCACCGATATTGAAGGCATTTTTCGCCTCAGCGGCTCCGCTCGACGCATCAAGGAGCTTCAGGAGATCTTCGATTCCCCTGAGCGCTATGGCAAAGGCCTCGACTGGTCCGGATATACCGTGCACGACGCGGCAAATATCCTGCGTCGCTATTTGAACCAGTTACCAGAACCGATTGTGCCTCTCGACTTCTACGAGCGCTTCCGCGAACCGTTAAGGAATCACCAGGCACAAGCGGTTGGTGATACAGAGGCCGCGCACAAGGATACTGGCGATTTTGACTACAACAAAGCTGTGGCGACATATCAGCAGCTCATTCGAGAACTGCCTCCGCTGAACAAGCAGCTACTTCTCTACATTTTGGACCTGCTAGCAGTATTCGCGTCTAAATCGGAGAAGAATCGCATGACGTCCGCGAACTTATCTGCGATCTTTCAACCGGGCTTACTGTCCCATCCCTCCCACGACATGTCGCCAGAAGAATACAAACTCAGCCAGGACGTGCTCATTTTCCTGATTGAAAATCAAGACCATTTCTTGTTCGGTATGAATGGCACCGCAGCCGACCCGCAGACGGTTAAGGAAATCCAAACAAATGTCACACCCCCGCCTGAACCGGCACCGGCACCGGCACCAACACCAACCCCGGCAACCAGGCTTCGACGGTCTGCCTCCAACGCCAGTGGCGGTGCGGACAGCCTAAGAAAATACGAGACCCTTCGAAGAAATGTATCGGTGTCGTCGAAGAACTCCAAAGCTTCAAGCAATGCACAAAGCCCCGGTACACCGACTTCGATTGTGGGACCAGGCGTACATCGAAGCAACACCGTCCCCTCGAAAAAGTCACCGGGACTCGCATCGCCCAGGTTAGGTCGAAGCGGCGAACCTGCGACTCCAACGCCGGCCGGCTTGACTCCACCACCCCAAACATACGGATCCTCGAGATCCAGCAGTCGTGCTCCTTCACCCATCGGCCCTCGTACGCAGGGTGCCCCCAATGCCTCAGAGCCCTCCACGACAACGACTGGACAAGCTCAGAGTCAAACCCCGGAGCAATCTCAGCTGCTTGGACCTCTTCCGGCGCCTACTAATGTAGTGACCCCGACCCGAGAACGCAAGCTGTCTAGTTTCTTCACAAAGTCGCCGCCTACAGGAACAGAACAAAAGGAGGTGCGGCAACCAAACCGATTAAGGAAGAAACGGATTCCGGGGAGCGTCAATGAAAGCGCCCAGAGTTCCTCACAGTCGTTGAATGCGGGAGCGTCTGATGCTGCAGCCGTTACTTCAGCTCCCCAAATGCCAGCCCCTGTGCCAACGTCCTCGAATGAGGGTCCATCTAACTCCAATCGGGACGGACAGGTAGCTCCTCAGCCTGGGGTCGAGGGTGGTGGTCATCATCACCATCAGCCGTCGGAAAGCACATTGAGGCCAAGCAGATCACGAACTCCGTCGATGCATTCTAGATCTTCATTTACAGATCAGTCCGATTTTGACCAAGTCGAGGAACCATCCAGAGTCGACAAGAAGGAGAACAGACGCAGCTGGAGAAAAATTCCTCTGCCCTCCAAGCGGAATATTGACACCCCGCCACTGATGTCGCCAACCGGTGCGGATTTCAGTGCCAGTTCCACCGGAAGCTCGACTCGTCAAAGGAGAAGCTCTGCGAATGACTCACACCACCCCGATGCCGACATATCCTATACCGTGTCCCGGCAGGACTCTGACTTTGGTAGATCGACGAGCAACCTGAAGGACTCCTCGCAGTCTTCGGAACCAGAAAAGCGCAGTCTATTTGATAAGTTCAAAGCCAAGGTTGCGTCCATGAAAGAAGGCGTCAAGGAAGAGCGGGCCAAGAGTCCACCGCAGTCGGATACAGGACTCTCGGTTACGTCAAGTCAGAACTTGTCGCAGATCATCAAGGACAGTAGGAACGGCCGGCGTACATCAACAGAGAGATCACGCGAAAGCCTTGATGTTGCCCGTGAAATTCCGTCGTATCCGACTTCGCCTCCTGTGATTCTCGAAGAGCCGCCGTCACCCCTCGCTGTGACCGAAGCTTTAAAAGCCTCTACAGAGGAAACGATTCCTGCTCCGGAGCCTGAGGCGCAGCCCACAACGCCTGCACCAGAAAGCAAAACGGAAGAGGCGAAACCTACCTCAGAGACCAAAGTCGACGAAGCGAGTACTTCTGCAGAAGAGAAGTCACAGGAAACGCAGGGAGTTCCGGAGAACGGCGATCCATCAGCTACAGATACGGAACCGGAACCAGTCGAAAAGAACTGATGTCTTATCTTCCGTATATCCTCATCTTGGCGGCATTCTCGTCGTATCGAAGACTTTGCCTGGTGCAGACAGTTCGGTTGCTGTACAGGTGTTCCTTTTTGCTGGACTGACTACATCTTATCCTGTCTTCCTTTGGAATGAAAAAACTTTGGGAACCAGGAACTATGTTAATGACTACTCGCATATGGGCGGACATGATGACGGCTTTGAACGAATTGTTTTTTTTCTGTGTCTTTCTGTTTCAATTTTGTTTTCTGGCTAATTGCAGGGCCGTCAATTGCGAAAGGGTAGTTTGAATGAATTTGGGGATCCCAACTAACTAATGTAGAACAAGAAGCATCATCCTCCCATGTGCACATTTGCTTGAAATGTCTTGTCCTTTCCCCCCCCTTTTTTTTCTTCATATCCTTCCAATTTTGTGTTCTATGCACATTTTTTCCCTTTTCCCCTTTCCCCCTTTCTTTCCACCCCCTTTAATGCCCCTGCCACATGATTGTTTTTTTGTGGTTTTTTCTTTCCTCTTTCTTTGCCTTATGTGCCCATGTATGTATTTATGTGTGTATGTATGTGTGTACGAATTCCCCCCCTTAATGCCTGTGCCTGTCTGTATTATCTGCATTGTATTGCATTATTCATTATCATGGTTTGCTTTTTTTTTAAACCTCTTTCTTCATTATTAATGCCTGCTTTTTTTTCTACCTTTTTTCTTTCTCTCGTTTATGACAAAATAAAAAGTAAAGAAAAGAGAAGAAAGGTAGCAATGGGAAAATTTTCTTTTTTTTTCTCTTGATTAAATCAGATCAAATCAGATTAAATTAAGTTAATCACCGATGTGATTTAGGATTTTATTTCCGCGGCTTGCCCTTTTAACATTGCGCGAGTATTATTTGTTATTCTTGTGATGAAAAGTAGGCTAACTACCTGCTTATTTATTCTTTTATTTTAAAGTTGATCTGAGTAATTAATTGATCAATTGGTGGTTGACTGACTGATTGATTCACGCAACGATAGCCTAGTAGACATTATTGTCATTTCTGACTTTTAGACAAAGTTACCTGTATATGTATTCATTTATTATACTACACGTATAAAATATCTATCTATCTAACTATAGATAGATGGAAAGAAGTAGCAAGCGAGAAAGAGAGAGAAAGAAAAAGAAATGGGTATGCCTCCTTCCAACGAGGCTCTTCTTCAATCTACTTCTCTTTGCTGGCAGCTTCCGGACTATTACTACTGGTTTCCTCCTCCTCCTCCTCCGGGGATGATGACGTGAATTCGATCCTCTTGCCGTAGAGCAGAGGCGTCCTGGCAATCAATGCGCCGACAACGTAGCCCAGATATGCCCCTGTGAGGATGGTGATGGGATACGCTTGCCAGGGTCGGTCCCTAATAATGGTACGATCAGTAAACAAGAAACCACCGGTACAAGAGTACAAGAATTAAAAAGAAGGAAACATACCAGTCCAATGGAATCGGAATCGCACCCAGCCATGCTCCCACGCCAGTGCCAACCGCCCCTCCCCAGACAGCATCAGCCGGCCGGTAAAGAGCCCAGACTTCCTTCCACACCGCGCCATCGACGCCGTGGACATAGACGAGCGGCGTCACGGAGAGCAGCGACATGTGCGCCGCGCAAAGGATGGTGTGGGGGGATGTGGGTGGTGAACGGCGCGCCGAAGAGGACGAGCAGGATCGCAAGAACGGGCGTCCCGAGGAGGAAGGTCAGCGTCAACGAGAGGAATGCAGCCTGTTAAAAAGTCGAATCAATCAAAGTCAAGTTAGGAATTTGTGTCAATGGCAACGAGCGAAATTAATTGTCAGCTGGCCACGGGACCAAATAGAAAGTAGCACAAGCAGCAGCAGCAGCAAGAAGAAACGGGGAATATACCGTCAACTTCCCAAAAATGCCATCCCTCTTCGAGCCATGACTGTGCTTCTTCCGATACGGTGTCCTTCCCGTCTTCACAAGCGTACTGCTGGGTCCTCCGGTCGATACTGTCCTTTTTGCTGCTCCTCCTCCTCCTACAGCATCTCCCCCCTCCACCCCCGCAGCAACAGCCGCGCCGGAAGGATCAGCAGAAGAAGGCGGAGGATGGTGATGATTGTGATGATTGTGATGATGATGATGCGACGAGCCCGCCTGCGGCAGACACGTCACGACATAGCCAACCTGCAGGGCTGCAAAAAGCGGGAGATCGCTGAGCAAGGTAGAGACCGGGTCTGCGACGAGGGCCGGAAACCGGAGCGCGTACACGGCCAGGAGCAGTGCCGGATGGACATGGGCGTACGTCTGCGCGGCCGGAGTAGGGAGAATGTCAACCGGGGGAGCAGCAGGGGACGGTGGTTGTTGTTTCTGTAGAAGAGTACTGCTGGAGGATGCTGCTGCTGCGGCGGCGGTGGCGGAGGACACGGTTGAAGCTGAGGTGGTGGTCATTATGGTCGTGGATCTCCGTCAGTTAACTAAGGCATTGGACAGCAGCAAAGCCCTCAGTGAAACTAAAGCGAGAGAAAAACCAGACTAATGAATGGAAGGAAATGAATCACATTGACGTTGTCCAAGTCGGTTTGCGCATTATATTAATTCGATCGATTAATCCAAATCTCGATGTTTTCCCGCCGCAGAAGATCTCCGTGTTTGTCAAGTTTGTCCGATTTGGCCCGTTTGCCTGGCCGGGAGTGCCGGGAGTTCTCTATGCCTCAGGCAGGAAGTATTGATACTAATTAAAATAAATGCCTTCCTAGGAGGTAATTTGTAATTTAATCAAATTACTGATCCTTTTGATCCATAGGCAAACAGACAGAAAAAAAAATCACGTTGGATTATTTTCATTATCTCTCCACTAGTTTCGAATATCTAATCATCATGTATAAACCCCTATCCTAGACAGTTAGAAAGAATTGAAGCTGCTAAAATAAGCTCGTGACTCTCCAGGAGTTACGAGGATAAGCATATATGTTTCCAGAAGAAAGATCCGTGGGTTTCACCACAGATAGTAACCACATAGCGAATTCACGCGGGTTCTTCATGACCGCGATAGATGAAAAAGGAAAAGTCGTAGAATAGGTACAGATTAACACAAAGTAAGCCAAGATCGGGGTATTTAAGGCACATCTCGCCAGCAAAACGAGACGGCCTTTTCATAAAAGGCAACATTAAAACATAATGAGGTGAACCTGCTTCCATCACAGCATACCTCGCAGGATGGAGAACGATCGTAGAGAAGAGCAGAAAAGGGTTATTATGGCACCACAGCGGTGCATGCTCGTGCCATAAAATAGGTTATAAGATAGTGAATCGCGACGAGACGGATAGATCAAGAAAGAAAAAAAAAGACATCCGACTCGTGTCAGAATTCCCCATGATCAGAAGAATCGAAGGCTTCAATGGAGACAAATCTCCAACCCCTAAATACGGGGGAAAGGATTCAAAATCATCATAATAAAATCCTGTCCTATATCATGCCCGGCACAACATTTCGCTGGTTCGTCTCTATATTCGAGCGGTAGTGCGAGCTGTCCCAGTGGCGCGACTCGTAATGATTCCCTTCGGTTGCCGCCTCTGACTCGACCACCGGTCGCTCCTCCTTACGAGAAGGTGTCGTGTGCAGTCGTCGAGATCCTCGTGCGTCATCGGAGTCCGGGCTGGGGATAGGATAATAAGTACCCGGGGGCGATACGGGCAAGTGGCCTGCCTGCCGGAGGTGGCGCATTTCTTCCTGTAGTTGGGCGACTTGGTCTTCCAGAGCTCTCCGCGCCGTTTGCTCTCTCCGCACTAAAGTGACGAGCGCACTGTATTGATCTATGGATATGTTGTTGAGATTCGTGGTGGATGATGATGGCGTCTGCCACGACGGCTGGTTTCGGGGATAGGCCGTATTCGGTCGCAGCGTGCCAGTGCTGATCGGTCGACCGTCCCCCGCGAAAGAAGTAGAGCTATGTGAAGAGTCCTCACTGGGAGCGGATACGACAGAGGAGAACGGTTGACCATGCGACAGGGAGGGATGGCGCTCTCCGGACACCGTCCCTTTTTGTGGCGTCCGGTCTACCGCGGTTCCCAGCAAAGCCTATCCCCTGTGTGCCTTGGATTTTGGCAATCGCAAACTCCAGATCCATCAGTTTCACTTCAAGGGTGGTGACCCGCTGTTCTAGAGTAACGTCCGGATCCTGAATCAGGTTTCCCAGGTTGAACGGGGCGCCTTCCGGCTCGGTCTGAGGCGCGGTATCGCGACCTTCCAAAGGTTGAATCTGGTCTTCCTCCATCGTAGCTGCCGTCGTCTCAGTTGCGCTTGTTTGAGGTCGCTCATGCGGTGGAACATGATCGTGATCCAGGTCCAGGGTACTAGTCGGCCAGAACTTCATCTCGTCGCTGCGCCGGCGCCACTGGATGGGAGACATCCGGTGACGTCGCATCAGGTCTCGCAGAGCACCAGCGCTCTGGGAGCGTCGGTGCACTTGTGTGCTCGCCCGGGACCGTTGCTCGAGGCTGCGTGGAGGCTCGCGGCTGACAGCACTTCCGGGTCGTGGGCTGGAGGCAGCCACTACCGACATCGCCGTCTCCCTAGCGTCCTCATCTGACAAAACCAGGCTGGGCAGAGTGGCTCTTCGTCGCGGACCTTGTCTCGGCACCGGGAGTGTCATACTTTGGCCTAGTTGAACCTGGTGATCTGATGATGAGGATGAAAGATGACTTATTCCGGTGGATCGTTTGTTGGTTGTTATAGATGGCGTGCCATTTGCGCCTGGTGAATTGTGCACCGCTGCAAATAGGCCCCTGCTAGGCCCTGTCCCGTCGTTCTCTTTCTCAGTCCTTATGTTTGTGAGCTGTTCCCTCTCCCCTTCGTCCTCATCCAACTGACTCTGTCGCTTCCTCGTAAAAAGCTTTCGCATGACATTCTTCAGGGCGCTTCCCCGGCGCCACTGTAAGGTCGAATCATGCGACACAGCGGAGGAGATCGAATATTGCGGGTTGTGGAATGATGTTGCGCCATATGGTTGCCGTCGCGAACCCGAGACGGTGGAGGATTGAGACGCTCGCGTCTGGCCGAGGGAAGGCGTGGACACTTGATCGGACATACGCAGGGCTTGTGGGCCCCGCCCGTCTTGTTCTTCACGTGGGCTGGGAATGGCCTTCGATATTTTGTTGGGCCCTCGGCGGAGGGATGGGCCTTGGCCTCGTAACGAGCCATGGGACGCGGGTACGTTCTGCTGAGGCATTTGCAACAAATTGGCTTTCGGCAGCGAACCGTGGGCTTTTTAGGAGCGGTTGTGACAACGATCTAGATATGGGTTCACAGGGAACGCGGTAATTCCATAGCAAGGGTGATTCAATGGGTTCAAGCGAGTGGATCACTAAGAATAGATATGAATTCAATACCGACAATGAAAACCAAGATTGCGGACGCTTCAAGAAGCGAATAAAAGGAGAAAACGAGGGTGAGTGAAGCGTCCAGATGGCACTGAGAACTAGGCAATCAGCCTCTAACAGCCTTCTTTTGTTTTATTGCGCCGTTGGCTATTGCTTAAATTTGGGGAGAATGGAGCTGCGACTCTGAGTTGCGAAGATCACCACCGGGGTCGTAGCCAAGCGATATGGCCAGACACTGCCAAATATCCGTGCTCATGCGTATCTTTTGTCGGGTTCAATTGCCAAGCGATTATCGACATCGAAGAGGCCATGTCCCTGAATCAGTCACTTCGAGGTGCAGAGTCGGGGCCAAGGTGGAAGGGCTGATGCTTCGGGTCAAGAACGTGACTGACTAGGTCGCCATGTCGGTGGCAGCAAACGGAGTGTGGTTAGGGATCGTCACGGAGGGGTTTGGAAGGTAAGAGAGGGTGAGTGAGAAGGGAAGGAAACAGAGTCGAGTACCCTAGAAAAACGTATGACACGGTCAGATAAAGAGAGATTGGTCGCACATGTGCAGTAGATGGCCTCCCGACTTGGAGCATAGAGGACATACAACTCAGATGGCCACACAGGCCAGGCAATAATATTATCAATTGTTTGGGCTGTCTTTCCTCCCGACCTGCAGAGGGTCTTAGGCTTTATCTCCTGTCCAAGTCGTGTGAACCAATGGAGGTAGCGGAGGCGATGGCTGCAGGGGTTGCACTGTGCAGACGAAACGCTTAACAGCAGCGTAACCTAGTAAGTCCAAGTACCCGGCGGCGTCACTTAGCTGCCGACTGATCAACTAGTGAATAATACTCCGTACTTGAATCCGGCAGAGGTCTCCTCCGTAGCTAACTGCATACGGAGTTTGCCCTCCTGGCAGAGCAGGTGATTCGCAGGGTACCGTGTACGGTTCCTAGCCCAAATCCTCAAACGATCATCCCTGGCGGGCCTGCTAGAGGCCAGACTACCGGCAGAGTCCTATCAAACGCAGCCGATCGGGAACCATCGTGGCTTGGGCGATAGACTGGACAGTGCAACGGCGCCACTGGTCCAGGGACCAGGACGGTTGTCTGCGTGGAACAGAAGTCTGGAATTAAGTGGATCAAAGGTGCCCCATAACGGCGGTTGTTGAGTCTTGACAGCGCCGCAGCGGAGAACACTCGCACTGACATTTGCTTTTTTTTTTGGCAAATCCACAGTCCTCCGTACTCAGGAACAGTACGGCCACTCCCGAGACCGATTCCACTTGTCAGAAAGCATTGCAATCTGTATATTTCGTGGTCGTGGAGTGGGGGCTACCGGCAGCGAAAAACTCGGTCGAAGCGAGGCTGGAGTGGACCGCTTAATGATCTTGGCCGTCAGACAGGCATAATTATTCATTAATATCGGGTCATCGGCCTGGTTCAAGCTTCCCGCAGGGAGCCAGCGGTCAGAGCTTCCAATAAAGCGGGGCTGGCGGTTTGAGGCTTTGCAGATAAGAGTTAGCCGGAAGCCTCATGGGGAGCTAGGTAGGTCCCTAGGAGAGAGCTGACCCCAGATCGGGGCCCGGCAACTGGCTGAAACACCTCGTCAGGAGACGGACTGGCACGCGGCCACATGGCCATAGTCGTTGCCAATAATGCCAGTGTCCACTGCAGGCTGCAGGGACGGGGCACGGTAGACCTGCAGCCAGAAGCCGTGTCGAAATTCCACCAGGAGGGGCTGGGTCGGGCGAGCGGATGTAGTGACGCTGATTGGATTCCACTTCAATAAGAGAGGAAAATCAGATGCTCTTTCGAGATGATCCAGGCGATTGGGATGGATGATTGACGACGACAATGATGGTGGTCAACGGCGATGGTGGAGATGGGGATTGACCGAGGAGCAAACGGGTGCTCTATCCGACGGAGTGTCCGCTTGCAAGGGCAGTCACACCACGCGGCCAGCCGGGCAGGGATCTTCCCAGCGAGCCGGAGAACACGAGACCTCGTTCTTGAGAACACAGATACTATTCCAATATACGCGCCTCAAATAAATAATTAGCTGTTATTTCCCTAAACGAATTCGACTATTGTTATTATTGTTATTTTTATCATTGCTGCTGTTGCGATCTTGGTGTTCGTTTGACCCGAATCAACGGTACTCCGTACTATCAAACAGTAATAGTTCATAGTATTATAGGTTGAACCCCTCAGCGCGAGGACTCTAAACCCTGTCATGTCTAGTTATCTATGCATGCAAGATCGAGTCAGAAAATGCATAAATAGCAACCCATAATATGTCTCATATCCACTCAAGTCTGATAATGAGGTATGCAAAATATCAGCTCCAGGGTATAAGCTAATAATGGCTATCCTCTCAGAGAGCATGGAGAACTCGGATCTTTGCATAATCTTACTTTTCAGGCTTTTTCTATTTGCTATTTATCACCCATGCATCTTTCCTTACCCGAGCTCATCAGAGCACTGACCATCGCTCTGGCACGCAACTGAGGACGCATGCGCCGGCGGCGTATACACGTGGATGCTGACAATTTTCGGCCCCATGCTGTTGATGAGAGCAGTCTACCGCAACTGAGTGCACTCGTGCGCCGCAAGGGCTGCCATCATGGTCACATCGACCTGGGTCGTCTGTCAAAATCCTCCCGTGTTGAGTACACTCTCATCGATCACGATCACCAAGTTCTTATCAAGGGCATTGATTCAGTTCTTCAGGATCATGCGGCATTTCTCATACGGGAAATTATGCTTAGGTAGAAGAAATTGGTACCTTTGGCAATGAAAAAATTAGCTCACACGCTGCACACTAACCAAGGGATTAGGGCAGCGCATACTCCGGAGTAGGGAAGGGCAATTCTGTTGGGCTGAACTCACATCGCAGCCTTACGATAAGCTTCTAAACATAGCCCCAAAGAACTCGAGGCTGAAGGCAAATCGCAGTCAGCTGAGAGGATGTCTATCATCGCAAGGCTGAGCGTGGGGGAAGAACTGACTCATGGCTTGTCCGTTTGGATCCTCAGGCGTATTGGCGATGCTCCGTCCCGTCTTTCCGTACTGTCAGCAGGCCTGCGTAGGCCTGATAAGCCAAGGAGCGAATGCCATAGCATTAGCATTCCTCTTTGCAAGCAACATCCATCGCGTCCAAACGATATATCTAATCTTCTAAAGTAAACGAAGGTTCCTGGACGGCGTTATAGGCTCAGAGCTTTGTGTCTCTTTGAACTGTCCGGTCTATAGGGTTTGATCAAGCTCCAGGTCTCTTGATATCGGTTGATATTCAGCGTATGCGAGCACATAATTCAGGGCAGGCTGGGCACATACATACTTACTCGTCTGCTTGGCCTTCTCGATCCTCGTATACAATCGATGTCAGGTTCCAATTGAACGGCTGTTCGTGTAACTTGACTGAAAATGGCATCTTACAGCACGTCTGAGGCGACTGAGTCCTCAGCAAATGGAAAAAAAAGCAGGCCAGCTGGCGAAGCCCGAGACCCAAGGCCCAGTAGCAAACAAAGCAAACCCCCCAAAGGCAACAAATATCATAACAACAGTACACCCATCAATGAACCTGGGGCCCCTAGCTGAAGCGTTAATACGCTCTCCGCCTCCTCCTCCTACTCCTCCTCTTCCTCCTCTTCTCTCTCTGTCAGCTAGGGGCCCCGGGTTCGAGACGCGCTCATGTCGAGAGTAAAATCCGCCATGAGCGCCTAGTAAAATCCCTGCCCGCCAAAAGCATAGGCGGGGGTTTTCGTAGCATCTCTCAGCTGAAAGACTGGGGGGTGTGAGCTTTTTTACATGCCGTAATCGCTGTTTTTTTTCCCCTTGAGGTTCTCGCTCTGTACAGGCCTTGTGCACTGGTTTCCAGCAAAGTAGTACCTACGCCACACACCAACCTTAGTGCTGATGAGATCAATTTACAGATTTGTATGTGTATACAATAGGTGGACTCGAGAGGCAGATTCTGCAATTGCTTCCACAGCTTGCCTGCCTGCTATCTTCCTCGCCGTATTCCACTATCATTACTGTTCATCAGGATCAGGTTGATCAGACGTAGTGTGAAATAGCCTGTCGCGACGTCACCCAGAATAGGCTTATTATTTCGTAGGAGACTTCCCCAGATATTCTTTAATTACGTCGTACTACAACAAAGCTGTCCTGTACGACATCTGCAAAGTTCTAGTAGTGACACAAGATCCTAGCCCAAGAAAATATCCAAGTATCCTTTACGCCATCAATTCACTGGCATCCGGGTACCGGAGGTCGGCATTTTCTTCCAGGAAATCCATCCAGTGTTTAAGGAACTTGCTGCCTCTGAAGAACATGTTAGAATCGAGAACGCCGGTCTTCATCTTGTGGAGAGTGCATGTTCGTCAACGAAGAAATTAAAGATTTGAACTTACCGACTGATGGTTTCGGAATCACCGCATATACAGAGGTGTCGTCTTGGACGGGTCATTGCCACTGGTTTAGCAACATGTTAGTCCAATCGTTACTTCGTTCCAGTAAGGGTAGACTCGGAATTCAGACAAAACAAAATACAGGAAGTCTCGAAATGGGTCATGTTGGTTAGAGCAGACGTACCATTCAGTCGACGCTTTTCTCCCAAGAACCCAACTTCATGGTCTGGGTTGCTGCGGACCAAGCTCACAACAACAGCCTCCTTCTCTCGACCCTGGAACCCGTCTACACTCCCTAACTCGATACCAGGGTACTTTTCTTTCAGAGCTTGGGACAAAAGAGCGAGCTGCGCATTGTATGGAGTCACAACCGCAATGTCTTCCGGCTTCACGCCCGCTTCCACGAGATTCTGCACGTGCCTGACAACCACGGCAGCCTCCATATCATTGCTCTTGCTCTCGCCGAGCAGACCTTCCTTTTTGGCGATGTCTTCCTCCTCCGTCTTCTCGGGGAAGTCGCCTCCTTGTGTGTCCCAGAAAACAAGAGGTTCCTTTGTGTCGTCCGTCTCCTTGACCTCATAAGGAAGATCCTTAAGCAGCCGTTCCCGCACATAGTCCGCTGCGATGAGTTTGGACTCATACAGCTCGTCAGAAGGAAACTTCATGATTTTCTCGTGCATCCGGTACTGAGTGGTGAGCATCCGTTTGATGGATGGACCATGTAGAGACAGCAGCCGATCAAACAGCGTCGTCTCCAGATTGATACCCTTTAAAGCTGGGGACTCATCGCTCTCAGTTTGACCGGTTCTGGAGTCTTTTCCTTGCTTCTCATTGGTTTTCAGATTCGATGACTTGATTGTAGGTGGCAGTTGTAAGTGGTCCCCCGCGAGCACAGCCCTCGAAGCAGATAGCAGAGGAATCCAACATTGAGCCTCAAGAGCTTGGGTTGCTTCATCAATGATGACGACATCAAACTTTTGATTCTTCAGCTGGTGACTTCCTGCACCGTGCAGGGTAGCCAGAACAACTTTGCTACCTCTGACCAGGTTATCAACGCATCTAGCCTCTCGCTCTCTGTACTCCTTCCGCAGTTCTTTGATGTCGTCATAGATCTCTCGTCGTTCTCGGCCACTTCTCGTCTTTCGTATGCTTGCCTGTTTCTCATCAATTTCCTTCCTGACATCCTTCACGATCTCTGCGGCCTCCGATGTCTGGGTAAGGATCTCGAGAGAGTGGTCTAGAACTGATGGTAAAAGACGAGCTGGATGGCCAATCCTCACTATCGGGACTTTAAGCGGAGCGAGTCGTTCAACGATGTTGTCCACCGAAATGTTTGAAGGGCCACACACTAGGACTCGCAAGTTCCGGCGGATCATTTGCAGAATAAGCTCTATCAACGTATGCGTCTTTCCAGTGCCTGGAGGGCCGTGGATCAGCGCGATCTCTTTCGAAGCGAGCGCGAAGCGTATTGCTTCCTTCTGGGAATCATTCAAGGTCGGATCGATAAAGTCGAGTTCCCCGACGGACTCGTAATCCGGAGGAGACGGAGCAGCGTGACCGAAAAGGACTCTCATGAAATAGGTGTGTTCGGACTCGGGCATCTTCTCCATTTTCTCCATTGTCTGGTTCATGCTATTGGGCTATTAACAGGAAGAACGCCTGGATCAGATTCGACACACCAACTTACCGTCTGTATGTCACGTCGTTTGCGAGTTTGACACTGGAGGTGTGACAATTAGCTGTCATCTTTGATGAGCCACTCCCTAGAATCCGCAGCTCGCGACAAGGATTAAGACTCACAGCCAGAGTTTCTTACCCCAGAGCTCGTCCACCGCTTCCTCGTCGTGCTTTGCAGCGCCTCCTCCATTCTGGCCGAACGCTATGGAAATTGACCTTTCTGAGACCTTTGTCACAACACCCTCAGCTTCCTTCGACGGTTTGGCTTTTGCACCGTCCTTGTCCTTGGCTGACTTCTTAGCCGTTCCGGAAGCGATCTCCAGGACCCGAACCACATCTCCGACTCGAATCCCATGCGCCCCAAAACTAGGTTTCCCATCTGTGTCAACTGTATCCGAAGTTCCTTTCTTCGAGGAAGACGAGGTTGCTGCATCTGGACCGAACTCTCCCACCACTCTCCCACCCATGCCCGTTCTGCATTGCTCGAGGACCAGTCCAGTCAAGGCATACCCGGTCGCTTGCAAGGTTCGACGCGTCGCGGCGGCGGCGGAGGTTGTAGCGCTGGTAGCGAGGGCCGATGACAACTTCTCCGCTTCATGTTCTCTCAACAGCAGCTGTTGTTGCGCCCGGGCGAAGAGGGGAATGGAGATAGGTGAGGACGCCATGACAATGTCAGAAACAACAACTTGACAGAGTAAAGGACATTACCAATCGGATAATGTGTGAATCTTGGCCCCCGTAGATGGGAACGCAGATTGATGTCATAGCAATAAAAAAAATCACCCCGCATGTGGTGTGGAGACGAAGCTTTGTTGCTCCCCGCAGATGTGCTTAGTCATGGCCTGCATCTACATCACTGCATGTGCACTCATGAATTTTGATCAACCGCCTTTTTTTTTCCTATTCAGGACGAGAGTGCAGCCTTTACAGAAAGATACAGGTCTACTGATCCAGAATATTATATTACTGGCAGGACAAGGCGGTTCAGAAGCCAGCAACTTTTGACTCAGGACCGTTTGCGAAGAGAAGTATAACGCTCAGATTTATATTTCTTCCATATCCAAAAAAAAAAAAGTTTTAGTTGTGAGCCGAAGCTAATAATGAATAAAGCAGAATACCTCATCCAAATCACTAAGTTCATAGTTGCCATTCCACTCATGCTGCAATCGCGCCAACGTTTGCCATCCTCTCAGCCGGAGTCTTCTCGCCATATCCAACATAAGTTTTAGAGAGCTGCTGGCGCACGTGCTGCAAGAATCTATTAGTTGCGGGCGATATTTTTTTTTCGTCAAGTATGGACAGACTCACCTCTCCAGCTTTGATCGGTGGAGACTTGGCCGGGTTCTCCGCCGAGACGCAGGTGTCAAGAACGGACACTGTAGCGTCGTAGTTGACGCCAAAGAAGAACGGAATCGAGAAGCGCTCCTTGCCAGTCAGGTTTGTGGCACGGTGTAGCGTCGATTTGAAGATGCCATTGGTCCTGAGACAGACAAAGTGTTAGATCTGACCAGATCGATGAGAGGGCCGAGAGAGCCATACCAAAAGGCGAAAAAGTCGCCAATGTTGACAGCGAAGTGATTTTTAATCGGCAGCGCAGCAACCCATTGGCCGTGCGTATTCAACACTTGCAAAGCCGGGACGTCATCCTGGGATAGGATGGTGAAGCATTCATAATCCTGGAACAGCCGTCAAACGAGGGTTTTCTCACCATATCAACGAAATGAAGTCGAATCAGATAAAACACACCGTATGAGTCTGGATGCCCACCCATTCCTCCCCAGGCACTGGCTGCGGAGGGTAATGCATTAAGCGCGAGATGCACCCGGGATACGTCACTATCGAGTCGAAGTAATCCTCTGGCAGGTGCAGCGCGAGGGCGAAGATCTTCAGCAGCCGGCGACTCAGCTCGAGGACTTCAGCAAAATAGTTCAAGTACGTCTCTCTGAAGCCAGGCAGGTATTCCTCCTTGGGCCACTGGTTGCCCCCGTAAAGACTGAAGTTGTCCAGAGGCAGCTTGTCATCGGGGCCTTTCTGCCGGTCACCCGCGATTTCGTACCCGATGTCGAAGGCCTCAGAGAGGTTGCCGGTGTGCTTTCCGTAGATTTCGGTATCGCCGTGCTCGCCGTAGAGGGGGCTGAAACCGCGGAAGCGCTGTGATATACTATCTTAGAAAGATGCAAAGGCAACTGGATATCGAGGGTTTAGTTTAGTATCTTACGTGCGACTTGCCAATGAAGCACTCCATCTTCTGATCCTCCGGGAGACTGAAGAATTTGTGCGCCATGTCATGGATCTTGTCGACCAGTTCTTCTGGTACGCCATGATTCTAGCATTGACATGGAATTAGCAATCCAATCCCGTCAATAGGTTGAATTCCTGAAAACGAAACTTTGATTTGAAGGCACGAATTTCCATACTTTGATATAGAAGAACCCCACACGGGAACACGCATCATAGATCTGCGCAGCCAGCTTCTTCCTCTCCTCCAGATCCGAACTGCTCATCAGCGAAAGGTCGATGATGGGAATATTGTCAAAGTCGCCTTGGATGATGTCCTTTTGGACATAGACGTCGCCGAATCGGGTTTTTAGAACCTTGGCCATGGCTGGAATTGTCAATATGATTCCTTTTTTTTCAGAGGAAGTTGTATTTATATGCTCTTGGTCAATATAATAATCTTCGGGAAAGAAAAAAGTAAAATTAAGTAGTTTTTATTATATCCAAAGAGACGAGAAAGATTGCTTATCAGCGCCGGAGGACCAATGATCTCTATCTAGACAGTTCTTATATCTATATCGCCTTCCCCACTTTTGATCGCCAAGGACAACCAAGTATATTGGAGTGAACTACCCAAATAACTATCACATTTTCTGCGACAGTTTGATCTTCTATTGTTAAACCAAGATAAGATAGATGAAATAGGTCATCGTCTCTGAGTTTTCTTTTTCTGCGTCTCAATACCCGGAAAAGGAAGTTCAGAGGAGAAGAAGGATCCTTTCAAGGGTCTGGCTCTCCCCACTTTTAAACCCATTGCACCGTGTTCAACAGATCCCATTTTGACGTATACCAAGTTTGGTTTGATGGGTTGATAATGTAGTTGAGGGAGGGTGAGCTGTTGTTCTTCGGTTAAACGGTTCTTGTCATGGATTCCAGGACTTGATATAGAACTCTGCAGCTGCGGAGTCTCCAGTGTTGATACCACTCCGCATGGTTAGTGTTTTCTCTATAAGGGAGCTAGATTGAGAGACTGAAGCCCGAGAGCGGAGTATATATGAATTAAAGATAGGAGTTGGCCAATAACTATACACAGCAACATAGAGGGGGGTATCTATCAACTAGACCTCAGTCATTGTCCTTGTTCCAGACAACAAAGCCCACTGTCAAAAGGTACTTCAATCACAACATTGTTGCTACTTTTGAGGTAGATTGGACCGAAGCCAAGGATCATGTAGCAGTTCAGCTGCAGATTGGCGCTCTTCTGGGAGCCACCGAAGCATCTTCTTCGCGAAATCAAGGAACAGCTGCTTCTCATTCCCTTCCAGGACGGTAACGGTATCTTCCAGTTTCAGATTCTTCGGAATAAGATCGTTGTGTAGGAACCGTCCTGAATAGGGTGGTGTTAGGTCATGTTTGATAATAGCTTTTGGTGACTCTCTTCTGCCAGTGACACTCACCATCTTCGTCAAAGAATGGTCCAACGAAGAAGTCGTTGATATTGTCGCACAGTTCACCCGTTTCCCAGCTACGGACCCGAGGAGTCCATTTCCATTTCTGGGCTTCCCTTGCGCGCTCGACGAGTTCTGGTGGAGGAGGACCCAGGAGAGCTATCATCTCGGCAAGGCGTACGTGGCTACGGGGCGTTCCGCTGGGAATGTCGGACCTACAAAAGAGATCTTTTCCTTCCATAAGCATCCATATCTATGCTGGCGTTAGTTTAGCGAAGATAAAATCAGCAGTAGGATTGTTGTCACCAATGCCCCCAAATTCCAGATGTCTGCGCTATACGTGTAGCCTGTCCCTAGGAAGACTTCCGGCGCGCGATACGCCTCTGGCTGGATCGGAAGGATGTTCATTTCCGATTCATTTATCCTCTTGGCCTGTCCAAAGTCTGTAATTTTGGGCCAGAGGGCCCAACTTCTAGGCTTGCCGAGGTGAAAGGATTGATACACCGTCCGGTCTTTACCCTTTTTCATAGGGATAGGGATATCTAAAATCTCGTTTGCGAACTCCTCGATGATAGATTCGTCTTCAAAGGGCACGAGAATGTTGCTCTGCTTGAGATCTATGGAAACCGTTAGTAAGACCACTGTGGGGACTCTTCAAGTGCTGAGGTTTAAATCCGCTTGCTTGTCGAGCTCACCAGTATGGATCACATGGCATTGAGAATGTAAGTAGTCAAGCCCAAGCAGAAGACAGCCAATGTAAGGTTTCAGGAGTATAATCGGTATCTTCTTGTCGCGGAAGCGGTTTTGGAGACGTCGCAAATGCTCCCTCATGGGCTCGAAGACCATCACCACATGTCGCTTACCGTCAGGCCTTGGCACATCAAAAGAGTCGACAATGGTGCGAACAAAGTTCGACCCCTCATGGGATGGGTTTGCACTAGCAATGTGTTTTAAGATCCTGAGCTCATGTTCGACATCCTCTGGCGCGTAGTTGCAATCCTGGAACTTCAGCACCACGTAACGGTCGCGTTGCCATCTCCATCTGCGGCGAGTGAGCTTCTGGCAGAATCTGGATGAGCCGTAGAACAAACATAGGTATACCTCTTAAGATCTCGTGCTAGCCAGATCGTCGAGGTGGTCCCGTAGCCAAGCTTGGCGGTTGTCTCGTACCTGCCATTCAGGACGTCGCCCGGATGTACCTCGAGAGCAGCTTGAGGATTATACGAAGGGTAACTCTCTTCTTCAAATGCGACATCTGGAGCAATCTCCTCGGCTGGCGCCTTCGTTCTTAATCTGGTTTGAGCGCGAAGAAAGGAGAGTGACCTGATCGGGGGAAGAGAACGCAACAACACCCTTCTGTGTCGGCATTGGTTGGTAACAATTGCTTCCACAAACGGCACGATCACAGACATCACCTTTCCGTATATAATTAACGTGCAGAATCCAGTGAAAGTCTTTTTTGGTGGCCTCGTGAGGATATAACACAGATTCAAAATGCAGACTCGGCTGGCCGGAGAAGATCGTACTGTTCATACATTCCCAGTCAGATCGGGCCGATGGCTCCGGGTATGTACTGTACGGTGCCTCATAGGGACCTCTCCAGGTTACACATAGCCTCCTTATACAGTAGTTAATATCATGGACTACACTCCTTGAAAATTACAGTGCCATCATCGGCACTAGAACTCAGGCCCTCCAACAAATGGCTTGGTGATAGAACCCCTCGTAGGCAGTAATGCTACGGGAACTGCGGAAAGTCCTTGGAACATCTGCTTGCATTTTTTTTTACCTCATGAGTCTTGACATTTCTTTGAACAACGGGCCGTAGAATCTGGCTTGATTATGATGCGGTTGAGAAACATGATCTACCAAGGAAAACGAATAGACTTGTGATAGGCTGGGGACATCCATTAGGGTATTGATTAATCGAGTATGAAAGAAATGAGCATTCATCAAAGACATTTCACTAATAACTGGCTGAATCCTGTACGAGAACAACGGGTTCCATTGCCTAAGATTGACGAAGATTTAGACAGGCGCAGGACGAGATTCGGAATTTAAAAACAGATCTGAACTAGTTAACCGATAAAGATACTGCAACTGGATGGGGAATGGAAGAGAAAAAAAAAGATACCGCGCAATTCGCAAGAAGAAAGGGGGGGCATGATGCGAACGCCACGAGGCAATAAAAGGGAGCGAGGCCTTCAACGCATCACCAATGGCTTGAAACCCACGCGGATCAAAGAAATTGAAATGTGAGGGACAGAAAAGTTCGTGACTTCATGACTTCATAGCCCATGCTGGCGCTCATGTTTCAAAGATTTGAGCCCAGAATAAGGAAATATGCGAAGTGTTATGTCGCCGATGATCCTTGAGGAAGGAGGATCAATCTTCAGCTTTGAGAGTGTGCTTCGCCCCGACGAATGGGAAGTACTTCACTGGCGGAGGCTCGTAGTCAGGCCCCATTATCGCTTTTTCCGCATCGGTTTCATGCTCACGGTCCTCCGCCAAATAGGCTTGGAAGCGGCGGACACCCTGGAGGGGGGCAAATCCTTTCAGAACTTCTCGCATGAATTTGGTCCACGTTTCTGAGGCATTTGACATGGGGGCCCCGGATCCCATGTCCACTATGTTGATCGACAGACACTGGAGACGAAAATGCTCTGTGATGAAGCGAATGAGTATTGACCAATCCATCTGCACACTCTCATAGCGCTGTCGATCCACCCTAATCACATATCGATGAGCCCGGGGAAACGCAAAAGTGATATGGCGGATCATCGACAGTGACTCTCTTGGCAAACGGTGTAAGAATCGAAACATCACCTGGGGATCATCTCCGACAAAGGAGAACCGGTTCCTGGAGTAAAAGACATCACGAGCAAGGGAGTACATGTGCCGACTGACTAGAAAGTATGGCATCGGTGAGACAAAGCACGAGCAATTGGTGGAGAAGGCGTTTTGTCGAAGCGAACAGAAGCAGTTCCGAAGATTGGGGGAGCATGTGCCACAGCAATAAAGGGAACGCGGTTTGACCTCCTTGCGGTGCACCCAGATCAGGTGTCCTGCCGCGAATTCAGAGCTCTGGACAAATGGATCCCAGCGTACGACCAGCAAGTGCTCCAGCACCATAAGCTGAATTTCCTCAGGGAGGTCAAGGAATGGGAATGATGGAGACGATCTGGGTCTCATCACGGTTGCTTCGACTGCTGCCTTTTTGGCGATCTCTTGAAGCTCTGGATTGGCAATGGAATCAAAACGGAGAGCACAATCAGTCAGATTATGAAAGCAATCGAGATGGCCGACGACTTTCTGTGCTGTTTCAACGTCATTGACACGGCAGTCGAAGCTGAAATGCTTCAGCGCAGGCATGTGTCTGCCCACGAGACTGCAGAACTTTTCCCACAGATTGAAAGTCGATTTCGCACGCGTAATCGATTTGAGAATCCGGCCGTCATAACAGCGGAGGGTGACGTTGATGGACTGCATATACTCTAGCCAGGAGCCAGTAGCGTTCTTGAATTTAATGAGATCGTCCAAGTTCCTGAGGGTCAATTGGAAACGATTCATGCTGAAAAAGACCATCGCAGCGTCTTCATAAACGGCCTGGGAAACTCGGAAAAGGCTGACCGGAATTGGGGGATGTTCGCAGCTCTGCATATAGAAAGAAGTGTTCCATTCACCCTCTTGGTAGAGGTCTGGCATGTTTCTCATGCATAGCATATTCTGACTTTTGAACCGTTGTTTTTCCTTCGCTACGTCGATGGGACATGGCCTGACAAGGTAAGCATAGCGATAGATCTTCACTCTCACATGGTGAGGGAGATCCATGAAGTTGAGCGAGTCGGTTTCTGAGTCTGCTCCAGTCGACTCATCCTCGCTGACTGAGTCGACCATGTCAAGCTCGAGGTCTGCTTCCTCGTAATCCATGGCTTCATTCAAGTCGAGTGACTCCATCATGTCAGCAGGAAAAGGCATCGTCTTCAGCAAAAAAGTCGTCAGCATGGTGATAGACTCAAAACTAGCCACAGGCATGGTGGTTGATGGGACGAGGCGAGGATGGTTGTGGGCCAAGGGGAGATGGAAACTCACAAATGACGACGAGCGTCAAAGCATTGGAGGGGGATTTCTCTCCAGTCAAAATCAGACACGACGCCGATGTAAGCGCAGTATCTGGTGGATCGTGAAGGTCAGACGACAGGCACGAAGGTTGTGGATGGAGGGAGGATGGAAACTGCAGTCTCACAGAGGAGGCCGGGAAGGTTGTAAGACGAGAAGAGAACCAGGCAGAAGAGGGGAGTCAGGTGAATGCAGAGAGGTTGGAGAAGACGCGTTGAGTGACAGCAAAACATTGCAAAGTGCAGGTAAAGACCGCCAAGTAGTCCATCTCGCGTTCTGCCATCGCTACCTACCTAATCTAGACTACGCGACTTCAACCTTAATTTCACCTAGGCGGCTTCTCCATGACCTGGGCCACCTGGAACAATCGCATCTTAGACAGTTGCCTGTTTCTTTTTTTTAGGAACCAGTCCCTTGATTTCGCTCTTGCACAAGCCCTTTCCTGCCAGGTCGCACTCCCCACACCGCCTGCCCACAGGCAGACAGACCGTTTGTCCCAGTCCAACAAGCAGCTTGTTGATCTCGTGCCACTTGTCCCTGGGAAGCCAGGACTCAAGGGCCATGCGCGTCTCCTCTGGAGTCTTGGTGTTGTGCCAGCCCCAAAGGTTGGTGATGCGATGAACATGGACATCAACCCCAATTCCCTCATGTTTGCCCCAAGCAGCACTCATACAAAGGTATGCCATCTTCGGACCAACTCCAGGCAGCTTCATTAGCTCCTCAGCTGTGGAAGGAATGTCTGAGTTGTATTTATCACGCAGGATGACAGCCGCCTCCTTGATATACTTCGTCTTGTTGTTATGAAACCCGACGGTTCGAATGAGCTCATTGAGACGCTCTGGAGAGACAGCCAGAATGTTCTCGATATTCAAGGTGCTGTCTTTGACTTCGCCATCCTCTGTCTTGGCCTTTGAAGATGTCTCAGAAGAACCTGTTGCATCTCCTAGCTCGGTATGTAATCGCTGCATGGCTACTGCCGTTACTGTGTCTTTCGTCTGCGACGACAGCATGAGCGCTATCAAGATTTGGAATCTCCTGTCTCGGGGCGACGAGGCGCGCCAGTACAGCTCCGCACAGCCCATCGTGTCGACGGGAGCAGTGAGATTCTCCTCTCTCATTTTCTTCACAATCGCATATATGGTTTCCCAGTTGGAAGGCGGCTGGACCTCCACGGTGCCATCTTCCCGTGTAATCTTTCGAGCCGGTTGTCGACGAGCTTTAGAAGCATTAGATGCCACGGTTGGGGTCTCCTGCTTTACAAGGACCTTTCGAGAAGACCGGCCAGACACTGTACGGGTTGCTGCATCAGAGCTTGTGTTGGTGGAAGGTGTCTCGGTATCGCGTCTGCGTTTTTTCACTGGGGGCTCAAAGAGGTCTTCAATATCTTCTGTTTTCACTGAGGAGAGAGAGGAGCTGTCATCACTCAGTTCAGAAGGCGTATTCGCAGGGAGTGGATCCGGTGTTGCATCAGCACCGGAGCTCCCAGAGTACTTGAATCTTTGCAAGGCATTTGCGGCCGCCTGGCTGCGAGTTTGGCGTCGGTTTGGGGAGAAAAGAGCCTGCACGACTCTTTTCGTGTCCTTTGACACGCGCGACGTTCGCATTGCGTTGAATTATTCTTGTAATCGGGCGGTCTATATCGCGAATATGGGATTTTGCCCCTGATTGGGGAAATTTTGATGGTCGAGTCAGAGTCAGTAGCAGCTGAGCCACGTGAACGCCTAGAGGCGCGGAACCCACGGGGAAGACCCACGTTAGCTTGCTGCATAACCTCGGCGGTTCGACCAGACCCGCAGGCTGAGCATCAGACGTCCGTTTGGCTGGATTTCGATCGCGCTCCAAATCCCAGGTTTCCCTTCTCATCTACCGGTCTTGTCAGGTTTTCTATGGTGGTGAGCACCTGAGGTTGTGTGTCTTTCGCAAAAAGCATCATCTGCGAGCCCGACGCGTTCCGGAGCGCGGTCATCGAATCACCAATGGCGTCATCGAAGTCGGCACCATCCGCGACAACGACGCAGCGCCTGCTGCGCGAACTGAAAGACTACGCGAAATCCCCGAACGAGGCTCTACTTCATCTTGGACCCGTTAGTGATGATGATCTCCTCCACTGGGAAGCTGTTCTGAAGGGTGTCAAAGGGACGCCTTATGAAGGTGAGTGAGTCGAGTTGGCCGAGTCGCGTTGGACGGTTTCCCCCCCCCCCCTCTGGAGGCACATCGGATACATTCCATTGTGCATGCCGTTATTTCCCCAGACACAATCCACCATTACGACCTCTGACGCTGTCGCTAACGCTGTCGTGTCATTATCCAGGTGGTCTCTGGCAGCTTCGCATCACCATTCCTCCCAACTACCCGCTCTCCCCACCGAGTATACAGTTCGTGACGCGCATTTCCCACCCCAACATTTCCTTCACGACGGGCGAGATCTGCCTCACCCTGTTGACGAGCGAGCACTGGAGCCCCGTGTATACGATCTCGACGACCCTGTCAGCCATCCATCAGTTGCTGACCGACCCTCGACCGGAGTCGCCGTTGAATGTGGATGTCGCGGCTCTCCTGCGCGATGGGGATATCGCGGGATGGGAGAGTCTGGTGCGATATTGGACCGAAGAAGAACGATGGCAGGGGCCAGGGAACGCGAATTCTAATCCTGTTCGATGAGCAGTAGCGATCTAAGACATTTTCCACTTGGACAGCGCTCGACAAGGTTTTTTTGCTTTTGTTTTTCATATTTAACACCGACGGATATGAAAACCTATTATTGTCACTGTACGAATGGCGGACTCAGTCTCATTATTCTTTCTATCTTTTTTTTCCCACTTTGTTAATGATGGGAACGAGCTACATACACATGTTACGTATCATGCCGAAATTTACTACTACTGACATGAACGAATTGAAGAAATATCCAGAGCTGTTTGTTTCCTTAACTACTGTTTTAATTCAATTACACAATCTATCTTCAATATTTTTTTCTAATACAGACTGGTCCACCAAAAAAACTACACACCCGGAAAAAAAAAGGTCCGAAATGTTATTATCACCTTCTGCTTCTGCAGTGATTTAGTGATTTCCGATTTGTTCGATCGACTTGACGACCGTCAACCGGACAGAATACAGATCACTGTATTGCATACGGTGGTGACGACGATGACGGTAGTGAAGATCATTACATCTCGAGAAAGTCACTTTATGCATAAAACGCATAAGACACACAAAATCAAAGGGAGAGACAGAGCCCGAAAAGGGGAAAAAAAGACATGACGCTCATTGGTATCGTTAAGGATTGGAGTAATGAGAGGACATTACATTAAAAAAAAACGCCATTTTCCATGCCAGTAGATAGATATGGATATTTTCGTTCGCTATTACATCATAGCAGACAAGCTGACAGAGTTATGAATCATTGAACTCATCCAGGTATTGATAGACAGATAGATTGATTATTTTACCCTTTTCTTCCAAGGAAACAGGACGCATTCACAGTGCCATAGCTACAGCAATAGCACCGCCCAGCATAGCCAGCATCTCCATGGTTATTCCCCTGGTAGGAGAAGCGGCGGCCGTCTGCAGACTCGGTGGAGAAGTGTGGTGTGATCCGGTCTGGGCCGTCTGGCTCGGCTGGACAACCGTGAAGGAGGTCACGGTGCTGACGCTCCCGTCGGGAAGGGTGGTGGTCCGTTTGATTGTCGACGTGAACGAAGATGTCGGGGAAGTGGTGGACGAAGCAGCCGCGGTGATCGTAGGTGAGGTTTGAGAGGATGATTCGGAGGAGGAGGAGGAGGAGGAAGAGGACGAGGACGATGGCGAAACGGTTGTCGTGAACGTTGTCGGAGAAGGACTGGCGCCTGGGGAGGGGCTGACTGTCGTCGTGACCGAAGGCGAGGAGGGAGCCGATGGACTTGACGGCGTGGTGGTCTCCGACGAGCTCGGGGTGGTAGCAGTCGAGGTAGCGGAAGAAGGAGAGGTTTGTGACTGCTCCGTCGTCGTCGATGACGGTGACACGGTCGTAGGCGAAGCGTCGGTAGGAGGAGCAGTGGTCGACGCCGTGTCGGCAGCAGAGCTGGAATTGGTGCTGTCACCGCCGTGACTGTCCCTCTTGACCAGCTTCACGACACGAGTCGCAACAGGGGTATCCTCATTGTGGACTGCCTCCAGCTTGTCATGACGGAACTTGTCGGAGACGGTGTTGAGAGCAGTATGGATGTGGTCGTCGAGGTTGGCAACGTCAGTCTTGTCTCCAGCAGTCGACTCTTCGACCTCCGCGGCAACGAATGCAGCGGAGGCAAGGAGAGACAGCAAGCAGAGCTTCAGCAGGTTGATCATGTTGGCTGCAGGAGCCGTTATCCCGCTTGGTGACTGTTGGGAGGGGAGAAAGAGCCTCACGGGCCTGTTTTCGAACGATTGAAAATTGACCAGGCAGTGAGAGAGATGACAGAATAACACAAAGCCCTGCCTCGGTTTGGGATGCAGCTTGTTTTTGTTGATGGGTGGGCCACTGCTGAGCCTCTCTTGGTCTTTGTCCAACTCTCGCCACGCGCGTATCTTAGCTGGGACGCAGCCGGTGGAGACAAGATAGTGCAATGACAGCAAAGTAATGGACTAATTGCTTCTGACGCAGCGCGGGATTAACACCGCATGATAAGACGGATGAGAAAAACCAGGCGGGTTGGACAGGTCGATGACTGCAGGAGTTGTCCTTTTTTTTGTACGTCGTAGGGGCCCGAAACCAAGAAAACCAATAGGTTTTTTTTGTCAACAGGGCTGGACAGAAACTCGAGTTATCGCAGCAAACCGTAAGACGTAAGGTGCCCCACTGTGTCTAAGACTCATAACAAACGACGTCATCCCAGTACGGAGTATCTCGTATTCCGTAGCACAGCTCCGTCTGTAGAAGGCCGAAGAAGGACTTGTTTACGGTTCAGGCCCTCTAAGTTGGATTCCTTATCGATTTATCGCCCGAATGCAGACCCACGGTTCAGGCCGCAGCAGCTTTAAGGTTTCTAGGTATGTACGGAGTACTGTACCTTACTACCTAGGCGACCCAAGGACCAGACCTAAGGATGGTTGCATTTATGCGTGCCCAGTATATAATACAGCGCCGGATCTAGTAATCGTCATGACTGCTATCCAGCCCGGCTACGAGGACAACTCTTGAGTCCAGATCCTCTGTAGCAAAAAGAATTTAAACTATGCTGCGCAATGAGTCTACAGACTAGAAGCGATGATCCTCGCAGAACACCGCCGATCCCGTTCGGGGCGCTACCGATATCCGAGTGAAGCCGGTGGGACTCGGGAGTGAGACATCTCACCCCATAGCCTGGAGCTACGATCCTGCTGGAACAGCACTGCCACTATCAAAGACCTGAGCACGATTTGGATCGTGAAATCTTATATCGTTGTAGGCTATCTGACAGTAGGTCGTAGATATTGTTTCGAAGATCGGTTGAGGGCCAGCTACTGATAATCCAGGTCGGTACCTCACCTTGCAATGGGCTCCGGAGTATGGTAACGGAGCCCACTCAACGTGTCTGGAGTCATTGGCTCAGTCGATCGGATTGCGTTGACACTGGGCAGAACAGCGCTGGAGGGATCCGCTGAGCTCTTTTCTACCTCCTCTGTCGTCTTAATGCGCACTTCGTGTAGAGAATACCGTCGTCAATTGGCTGTGTTACGCAGCTTACGCCAGCAGCTGGCTTGGACGCATCAGCATTCAGCCCGCAGCGCTGCTAATTTTAGCGCGGAACCGGACTAGCGCGTGACGTGTTAAACCCTAAATCCCGCCAGTCCTAATCTGGTTACAGCTAGGGTTTAGGGTCTAGGGCTGAATACTAGGTCTTCTGAGGGCTAGGCTGAGGGTTAGGGCTGAGTTTGGTCACTGGGCATCGCTGCCATTAGCTTTCTCTTTTCTCCATTAGGAAAACAGTGTGGCCATCCCTAATCTCAATGACGGTGAGTTTGAAAAGTTACCGAACTGCAGTAGACGATCTTTGCACCTCAAAAATCAGAATGCCGAGGTGCGCACACGCTTGGAGGTGATGATCGGGCATGATGACCTCCTCTGTCAGCAATCTGGCATGAACATCGTCAGGACACGGTAGAGAGAGTGGAGGACGACGAAAATCTGAACAGCTCGCGGTTAACATCGCATATCCGCTAGCGCCGTTGAGAACGACACCCATCGGAATGTCGGGAACTCCAAGGTGACAGTGCTGGATGGGTCACGGCTGTCTTCAAAGGCCAAGTGCCGGTCTTATGCCTATCCGCTTGAGAATGTCTTCCCGAACACCATCAGCTTTGGAAGGGGCTCACCGAGAGCCTTCAACCTTATTAGATGGTCTCGATTCTGAGTTACAGAATTAACGTTTCGCTGATTGTTTTCACATGACGAGCCATGTAACGACGCGCTGCTGGAAAAGCATAGACAGACATCGCCGTTTATCCGGATCACAGGCTGGTCAATTGCTCTGCGTGTGGCACTCCCTCTGTAACCTCATGATGGTCTATTCGGGTTATGTAACAGCACATTATCTCAGATGAAGCATGCAGGTAAGAAACATTATTCCTCTAGCCAAGCATCTGCGCGAGTGGCAAGCTGGACCAGGTCCCCGCATGGCCATTGACGGAATTTAGTCGCACCCCGCATTGCGGGATCGACAATCTTTACTACGCCTGGCGTGTTTGGTCCCTGAGACGAACCATCCTGCCAAGCTACCCCTTCTTCAGCTTAAACAGTCGTCCAATCGTCACTGGCTGTTGAGCAGCATCCCCCGCATCGGCACTTGACTTTAATTTCCCGATGTCCCTTATCTGAGCCAGACATGCGGAGTGTCGGGAGATGAGCGATATCCTCAGACTGACTGACCAGCAAGCAAGAACGATCGATCACTCTGGCGATTTCCCGACACGGGGAGTCTCGCACTTCAGGAACAATGCACCGGCAACTCAACAATGGCATCGCTTCCCAGGAATCGATGCCCAATTCGGGATGGAGATGTCGATCAGATGGTGTATAAAAGGGCAGGATGAATCCAGGGTCCAGGCCATCTGCCATCACTCAGACTCCAACACTCGATCAGCAGCTTCGAAAGTGGTCTTTTTGCTATCATCATGCTTCGACGGGCTCTTCTTCTATCCTCTTCTGCCATCCTTGCTGTCAAAGCACAGCAGGCTGGCACGGCGACTGCGGAGAACCACCCGCCCCTGACATGGCAGGAGTGCACCGCTCCTGGGAGCTGCACAACCCAGAACGGTGCGGTCGTTCTTGATTCGAACTGGCGTTGGGTGCACAATGTCGGGGGCTACACCAACTGCTACACGGGCAACACCTGGAACCCAACGTACTGCCCGGACGACGTCACCTGCGCCGAGAATTGTGCGCTGGACGGCGCGGATTACGAGGGCACCTACGGCGTGACTTCGTCCGGCAGCGAGTTGAGGCTCAATTTTGTCACCGGGTCGAACGTTGGATCTCGTCTCTACCTGTTGCAGGACGACGAGACCTATCAGATCTTCAAGCTCCTGAACCGGGAATTCACCTTTGACGTCGATGTCTCCAATCTCCCGTGCGGATTGAACGGCGCTCTGTACTTTGTTGCCATGGACGCTGACGGCGGCGTGTCCAAGTACCCGAACAACAAGGCTGGTGCCAAGTACGGAACCGGGTATTGCGATTCCCAATGCCCACGGGACCTCAAGTTTATCGACGGCGAGGTATGTACAGCGGCAATCACATCATGTCGCGAACTTCTGCTAACATGTTCGATCTACAGGGAAACGTCGAGGGCTGGCAGCCGTCTTCGAACAACGCCAACACTGGGATTGGCGACCACGGCTCGTGCTGCGCTGAGATGGATGTCTGGGAAGCCAACAGCATCTCCAATGCGGTCACTCCGCACCCATGCGACACGCCAGGACAGACGATGTGCGATGGGGATGACTGCGGTGGCACATACTCTACCAACCGCTATGCGGGAGAGTGTGATCCTGACGGCTGTGACTTCAACCCTTACCGCATGGGCAACACTTCTTTCTACGGGCCTGGCAAGATTATCGACACCACCCAGCCCTTCACTGTTGTGACGCAGTTCCTCACTGATGACGGTACTGACACCGGCACCCTCAGCGAGATCAAGCGCTTCTACATCCAGAACGGCAAAGTCATTCCGCAGCCCAACTCCGACATCGCCGGCGTGACTGGCAACTCGATCACCACCGAGTTCTGCACTGCTCAGAAGCAGGCCTTTGGCGACACTGACGATTTCTCCAAGCACGGTGGACTGGCCAGCATGGGAGCTGCCATGCAGCAGGGCATGGTCCTGGTGATGAGTTTGTGGGGTACGTACAAATTTTCCTTTGCAGTTATTTCCCACCAGAAATACAGAAACTAACTCTTAAATCCAGACGACTATGCCGCACAAATGCTGTGGCTGGATTCCGACTACCCGACCAACGCGTCCGCCACCACGCCTGGTGTTGCCCGAGGAACATGTCCGACGGACTCGGGCGTCCCATCGCAGGTCGAGTCGCAGAGCCCCAACTCGTACGTGACGTACTCGAACATCAAGTTTGGTCCGATCAACTCGACCTTTACCGCTTCATAAACGGGTCTTTCTTACAGGAAGTCTGTTTTAGATGTAAACAGACAGTGAAAGGGAACATTCATATGGAAGAAGAACCACACAAAACTGCAGCAAAGAGAAGAGAAGGGAAAATTAAAGATCTACTTTTGAAAAAAAGGTTGAAACTACGCGCTCGTTTCGTTCTTGAAATCGCCACTCTTGCTTTTTTTTTGTCTTCAATTCAAGTGTACATATTGTTCAGTTCAATCAAGTAAATAAATACACTTGACTTGACGTTCTTACCAATCGCCGTTCAAAGACACAGGCCTTGGCCATCATACGTACCATCAGCAAGTTTCTTCCTTGCCTTGTTAGTTGGATAAATTCAAAACAACACTTTTTTTGTAAAAAAAAAAATAAGAATAATATGAATCTATGAATCTATATATTATTCCTCTCAGATGCTGTGTTGCTGTTCTTCATGAACTGTGTATGTAATTAACCAACTTCCCAACTTAATATCCACTGTAATTGACTAACTAGCCAATATTGATCGATTAATTAGTACTGCATAGTACGTCAAAGAAACTCAAGCGTTAATTTTTTTTAAAAAAAAATGGAAAAAAAAAGGAAGGAAGGAGAGATTATCAATCAGAATCGAATCGAATCCATTCCATTCAATGTGGATGACCAGGACCAGTACCAGGACCAGGACCAAGACTAGCCGATGATCTGATGTTATGTTCGATTCAGCGAGTTGTTAATTGCTCCGAATTTAATCACATCAAGTCACCAATCAATAGTCATGGAAAAATAATTCCCGAGACTACACATACCTTAGGTCTAGCATAGGCATAATCGTACCTATGCATGTACTGTATGTACATTCATACGTCTAGGCAAGGTTGCGTGGACATGTGCTTGGTGCCTATAGAAGTATGTATCCCCCCCACGAATGCACGCGGATCAATTGCCCACGTATTGTGTGGGGGTGGGAGGGACATCGTCAATCAAATCAATCAATTGAATCAACCGCTTAATCTTATTTTGATAGTTTGATACTAGTGGAAGTTAATTCATTTACTACGCAGTCAAGAGTACAGTACGTGTCTACTCCGTAGGCAGTAGTGAGTGTGCAGATGGTACGTGTGGATGGTAGTTCTGTGTATATTTATATCAATTAACTATTTATTATATGGTAGATGTATTTAGTTCGAGGAAATAAGAGTAATAGTTCCGTAGATAACTACAATTAGATAGATCTATTGCGAGATGACATCTTAAGCGCTCAGTCAATTCAAATCTCTACAAAAACCACCGAAATTCCGGCGTCGCAGGCCCATCTCGCAACCGCTCCGTCGGCACATTCCGGGCATCAACCTTGACGCCCGCCCGGGCATCTCGCCGCTTATTGTCGAACCACATGTACAAGCCCAGCAAGCCGGCCAGCAGCGCGCCCGTGCCGCCAAACGCGGCGACCGTCACCAGCGCGGGCATGTACTTGGGCTTGTCCTTGGCGCGGAAAATGTTGCTGCTCACCAGGCCCATCAGGTTAGCCAGCGGCACGCCCAGACTGGTCAGCAGCACGCGCTGGCCCTCGTGCGCGACGTTGTTGTTGTACCAGGTGCTCAGCAGCACCGACGGGGCGGACGTGCCCCAGGTCATCATGAAGGTGGCGTAGTACGCGAGCCGGATCTGTCTCTCGACGTCGTTGATGGCCGCGTAGATCATGAAGCCGCAAAACGTGAGCAGGAAGCCCAGCACGATGAACGGCGACCGCAGCCGCGTCGCGTCCGAGCAGAACGCCAGCACCAGCAGCATCACCGCGCCCGTCACGTTGGGCGCCACCGTGTACAGATTCGTCTTCACCGTCGAGTACCCCAGCCGGGCGACGATCTGCGGCAGGAACAGCGCGACACCTTGCAGCGGCACGCCCAGGCAGATCTCGATGGCCAGGAAGGCGTAGGTGGTGGGCCGCTTCAGGATGGCGAGCGACTCGCGCAGGTTGAACTTCTCGTTGACGACGGCACTCGAATCGACCTGGATGCGGTGGTAGGCGAGGGCCTTCTCGTCCGGGGTGAGGAAGCGCGCCTCCTGCGGACTCTTGGGCAGATACCAGAAGGCGAAGGCGGAGAAGAGGACGGTGCAGGCGCCTTCGATGAGGAAGAGGTAGCGCCAGCCCTGCAGCTTGCGGTCGCGGATCTGGAACACGCCGAAGGCGAGCAGGCCGGAGAAGGCGTTGGCGATGTTGGAGGCGGCGTAGAAGATGGCCAGGCGGCGGGCGAGCTCGCCGCGACGGTAGAAGGTGGTCTGGTAGTAGATGACCAGGGGGAAGAAGGCGGCCTCGGCCATGCCCAGGAACCAGCGCAGCGCGAAGATGCCGGCGAAGTTGACGGCCGCAGCGGACAGCAGCGTGAAGCAGCCGAAGCAGAACATCATGCCGGAGATGACGCGCGCGGGACTGAAGCGCTTGCCCAGCATGGCGAAGGGTGGTGCGAAGAGCACGTAGGGCAGGAAGAAGATGGAGAGCAGCAGGTTGTACTGGTTGTTGGAGAAGTGCAGATCTAATGTAGTCAGTGATTCTGCTTTTTTAATCGAATTTGTTTTCTACTTACCGTCGCTGAGTCCGTCCGTTTCTGCATTTCCCAGATTCCCCTTGTCCAGCGCATTGCACAGATCTGCCTGCGTTAGTGTGGCCTCGAAACAAGCAATCTAGTGGAATAGCATACACATAAAAGCCAGCACAGGCAGAAGACGAAAGTCGAACTTGCGACACAGTGCCCGTTCGGCCTTGTGGTCGATCACCCGCGCGACGTCGCGTAACGGGTCGACGGCGGCGATGCTGCTCTCGACATCGTGGGTTTTTGCCTGGAAGCCGACTTTAGAGTCGTTCGCCTCTGTTGTTGTATGCGTATTCTGGCGTGGATGCTCCATGGTGATCGCAGGAATCAGCCTGAAACTGTTCGACTCGATACCAGACTGGAGTGACGGATCGTCTGCAGGAGGGGAACTGGTTCAAATAGCTGTCAAGCCTGCCATGATAAGCTGGCAGTCGCCCAGACCAGCTAGGAAGCAATATCGTATCACTGGTCGCATGGCTGTTATCTTGCGCGGGCAGATCGCTTATCTGCACATGTTAATTAGCATGGATATGATCAGAAACTGTGGGGAAGCTTGATAAGGTGGCTGGAGATGGCTGCATCGAGAAGTCACTAATTCATCACTACGGGGTATTAGCGTCTGAGCGTAGTAAGACAGGCCTGTTCTTGGCTTGGTAACAGCGTTACAATAGTGGATGGAGATGGATGGAGAGGATTGCGGAGATGGAGATGGAATGCGGGGGTTAGCCGCAAGCAGAAACAAACATCGTCCATTATTCATTATTGGCAATTCTGTTCTAGATTCTGGCCAAGAAGCTTTCGATTGTTTGCTTCCCAGAAGGGATATTCTTCATCTGCCTGTCGTGTCTAGTCAATTATCCATTGTGCAACCCCATAGGTTTTTTTTTCTTCAGCAGTTTGCCTTGTAATCAAAACCAGAATATGCGATATAGAGGCGCAATGCCATCCGAACGTGATTGAGAAAGTTATCCATAAACCCACACGACCTATCAACTGATTCGACTTTTGACGAGGCTGAACAGACTACATTCGTCAGACTTTTCCCCTTGTGATACCTCACCAAACACAGCTCTTCTATACATATTCCGGTTAGCTCCTTTTCTGTGAGGCTATACTGGACAGACAGGGGTATCATTGTCATACTGGTGCAATTCTGCTTTATTGCCCGTATTTCGTCAGCTGAATAAATATGCCCACACTTAATCCACGTGGATTGGTCTGGATCCCTGGTGATGGAGTGTTCAGCACTAAGATGTAGTCAGTATGGTGGAGAGGGAGTGTTGTAGATGGGATATATCTTGGTAACTCCCTCGTATGATATGGATAATAGGGACTTGTCGATGCAGTGGTATAGAAAAGAGAAAGAAAAGGAATAAGAAAGTGAGGACAGTACTGTATGTATGTATGTACATATATGAAGGGTTTTTACGGTTTACGTGAATGTTCTATAGCACTATTAAAAAATAAAGTTTTTTTTTAAAAAAAATATGAAAAAAAAAATTCTCTGATTCAACTAAACTATTCTAACTACAAATTGCAGTACTAATTAAACAATTGCTCCTGCACATATTACTCTTATACGTTTTATCCAGATCTCGACAGACCAGCTGCCAACAAGTCTTCAGACACATACACACGTACACACAAATACATGTATAGCTGGACTTCTGACGCAGGACACCTAGCAAATACTGTCCTTCGGACCCTCCTCCAACCCATCTTCCTCCTCATCCCGGCGGATCCGTAATCGCAGCAGCATCTGTCGCACGATCCGCCGGAACCGCCCATTGTAGTGCCACAGCGCCCACAGGAGCAACGTGGCGATCGTCAATGGGACGGTGATGGCCCAATACAGCCAGAAGGTGTCGGCCACGACCCAGGCGGAGCCGTTGTTGTTGCCGTTGTTGCCGTTGTTGTTGTTGGGGTTGAAGTTGAAGAAGTTCATTCCGAAGAGGCCCTGCGTTCAGCGTTAGATGATGTACACACAGATACAGTACATGTATGTGTATGTGTATGTATGTGTACACTTACTGATACAAACGTCCCTGGCAAATAGACCAAGCTGACGATGGCCACCGTCTTCATCATCGCGTTGTCGGACCGCGAATTCTCCCCTAGCTGGACGGCGACTTGGTGGTTGTGCTGGGAGACGATGTTGAATGCCTGAGAGTGTCAGTCTCGTAAGGGCAAAAAAAAAGTCGACATGCGGGTTTCTCCCACCAGATTAATCTCATTCTGCAGCCGCTCGTTAAGCGAGACAGATCGCGCTTTCAGCGCATGCAACTCCTGCAAGGCCAGGAACAGCTGTTGCCGGACCTGCCGGCCTGGAACTGGACTTCCATTCCCGCTGCCCAGCGCTGGACATTGGTCGTAGAACATGGTGCAGTCGTTCATGATGCTTTCGACAGTGTTTGTCGCGACGGCCAGCGTCTCGTTCGAGTGGATGATGTGTCGACCGATGTCGTGCAGAAGAGGGAAATCCAGTTCGCGCTTCAACGGTGCATTCCGTTGCTGCGAGCGTTTAGCAGGCTGACAAATACAAATTTCATGTCGATGTGATTTTCTGAAGCAAGCTTACCAGTTCAATGTCGCGCACCAGGTCGCGCAGAGCCCAGATGGAGCGATCGTAGAGCTGCTTGGTCTCGTGGACAAAGGCCGCGTGCCACGCGTAGGGATTGTTCGCCGCGATGCTGGGCAGACGAGCCTGTAATCCCCGTTTCAGCTCGTCGGGACAGTTGACGAAGAGGACCAGCGGCCGACGCAGATGGCCTTCGAGACGCAGGCGGATGAAAAGCGCGATCTGCATCCAGTGGTAGGTGATGCGGATGGGGTTGCGGGTGCCCGCGACTTGCTTGATTTTGAAGCAGCTCCACGAGTCTGTGATCAAAATGAGCTAGCTGATCTTGATCGAGCTGGAGTTGACTGAGAGGATGGAGGAAACTGACCGTGTCCGAAAACCCGTCCTGCAGCATCTTCGTGGTACTGACACCCAAACCGGCCGTTCAAGTCCTTCGACACGACGGGCCGGAACTCGGCGGGGAAGAAATGGCGATGTTGTCGAGAAGCGGATTGCCAGCGCTCAAGCGCGGCTGAGGATGCGAAACTGTCTGAATTAGCAGCAGCAGAGAGAGAGGAAATAAGATACATACATGATCGTGGATGCTGAGAAATCCGACGTCTGCCACAGACTGGTATTCATGCCGGTCTCAAAGACCGGTTCCATTCTCCCCTGGAGTTCATGGTCCAGAGTCGATTTGTGGCGTGAATATTTCCCATTTTCTTCGCCGTCAGTCAGCATCGTCCAGCTTTTTAAAAGTGTGGTGATGAGTGCTTCTTACCGTCTTCGCGGATCACTTCCACCGCATCGGTTTCCGATCCCAAGTCTTTCTGAACGGTGTGTCCATTATTATTTCTGTGCGCCATGTTTGACTGCGTACGTATTCTGAGTGCACATGTCGTGTTGGAGAGAGGTGTTTATAAATGATGAACTTGTGAAGGAGCATTGTGCTACAGCATCTCTCATGTGAGACTTTGAGCTGTCAACACCCGATTCGAGGCGCAGCAAGCATCGCGCAGCCTAGCAGCCTCACGAATAGCAATCCTTCCTCCTCGTCTACTGTATCAGCCTCACTGGTGGACAGAAAAAATACAGTACATGTATTATTCATGCCTTGCTGATATGATTGGCTCGTAACTGGAATTTACTACAGTGGAATACGTACGCTGGCGCAGCCCTGCGATGGCCAACGCATACATGCAGTGTACCTTGAGACAGCCGTGCCTGAAAGCAGTCAGAGCCTCAACGGTGTCATCTTGAAACAACTTAAACAAGCTTGTCTGTCGACCGGCCCCACTTGGTGCATTGCATTGCTGTCAGTCAGGCGAGAAGACAGGTGTACGTCCACAATAACCTCGGATGAGAGATATTGCAAGACAGGAAGCTATGACATCAGTTAAGGTACCAAGAGCATTGGATTCGTGAGAGCTGCGCAGCCTGACCTAGCTAGCTAGCTGTCTGTCTGTCTACTATGCACAGCAGGCTGAAATCGATTTTCTGTGACAAACGTTTGAAATAGTCATCCAATTGCTGTTCAACGGTCTTCTCCATAAAACACCAGACCTGCTGCGGCATGGTTAGGGCGAGACAGTTTCGATTATTTTATCTCAGCGGCCAGGGGAGTGAGGTGGCATGAAAATGCTTGCTTTCTCTATCTGCGAGGCAGAGAGAAGCCTTATTTTTATGCTTGTGGGTCATGTTGGCAGGCCAGGCAGCCTATCTAGCCTCAGGCGGTGACTGCCAACATTTCACCGAAATGGCTATGTGTGTCAGTCCTGTATAGAGTATACACCTATGTACTGTACAGTACATTTCTCCGAATGTTTGTATGTGCCTCAGATCTTCCATTCCACACAATATAAAGAAATGAACAAATTCTTTATCCATTCGAGGATATCTGTTTGAAAAGTATATTAATTACACTAATTACATGTAATGTACTAGCACACGAATGCTGTACGTACGGCACACGACGCGGGAGTATCGAATAAGAACAACAAAGAAAAAGATAACAATATCAGTCAAAGCCACGCCTCCTATCCACATTCTCCAGTCGCCGGATCGCGAACTCCTGAACTCCGACAGAAAGGAAAAACAAAAGGAAAGAAAAGAGAGAGAAGAAAAAAGTGATGATTGCTTCTAGTATATATGCTGCGACAGCCACTCCGTCTGCCAATTCTTCGTCCCGTCCGGATTCATAGACCGACAGTACCGCAGCCGGATATGCGGATTGCTGGGCAACAGCTTGATCTGCGCCGTCAGGATGCGCGCAGACTCAGGCACCGTCTCGCCCGGCGACAGATCCTCCGACTCGATCGCGATCAGCCGGTCCAGGATGATGGCCGCGCCGGGCGTCTGCCACATGCCCTCCTGCCGCTGCCACCGGCGCAGCAGCGCCAGCGCTTCCCGCCGGATCGACCAGTTGCGGCACTTGTAGCCGCAGTAGAACAGCGGCGGGATGACCCCCGTCTCGACGGAGAAGGTCGGGATGCCTGCTGCTGCTGCTGCGGCGGCGGCGGCTGACGTCGTTCGAACGCCTCCGCGAAGACAGCCCGGCTCCAGCAGGGCTTCGGCCAGCCGCACGAGTCGGCGGAAGCGCTGCTCGAACGCGTCGAACTGCATCTCGCTTGTCCGGTCGTGGGCCGCGTTCATAATGTACGCCGTTTCGCTCCAGAGCTGGAGCACGATCACGGTTCGGGTCTCTTTGGCGGAGAGGGACAGGGCGTGGTGCTCGAGGAAGATGTTCAGCGCGCGGTTCCACTGCTCGAGCTTGCTGGCCACCTCTGCTCGAACGTCGTCGCCCAGCTGGCGCGCCTGCGGGGACCGACACAGCCGCCGCTGCTCGTTCTGCATGGCGTGTCTGATGAGGCTGAAGAGCAGACTGCTTGCCTGGTCCAGGCTGTCCATGTGCGCGGGGATGTCGATGCTCCCCAAGCTCATGCGGACCGGCTCCTCATCTCCGGCAACAGCGGCGAAGACATCATCGTCGTCCATGCTGGCGAACGTCGACAGGTACAACTCCATGCGGGCGAACAGCTTGACCAAGGTCGAATACGTCGAGCCGGACCCCAGCATGCCGCTCTGCTGCCATTCTCGCAGCAGGCGAACGCCCACATGGTAGTGGGAGTTGGCCGTGATGGCATCGCCCTGGAGGAAGGCGAACGAGATCAAGAGGATGCAGGTCACCAGGGTGGTCTCCATGCGGCGGTTGCCACTCGCCAGCTGGTGCCGCAACAGGGCGATGGCCTTGTTGCATTGCTGCAGGGGGAACGCATCGTCGCGGAGGGTCTTGTCGAAGGCCATGCTCTCGAAATTGCGATGGAGGGCGCCCAGGGCGATGGCGGCGTGTCGGATGGCCGGGTCGACCTCGCTGGCCTGCGGGACGAGGCGGCACCAGAAGTCGTCGTGGAAATAACCGGCGCATTGGACGGCGGTATGCGTGAGAAAGAAGTCGAGGTAGCGGCGCTCGCGATCCGTCAGGTCCCAGGGGTTGGCCGGGATCGAGCTGTGGAGGAGAGGGGTGGCATATGCGTCTACAGGAGGCATATAAGAGGAATCCGATGGTAAGAATGACGACGCTGCCATTGGCGGCGTCCTCCGTTGGACGACAGAGGGAGCATAGGAAGATTCCACAGCAGCAGCAACAGCAGCAGTATTCGTAGAGCGATTCTTGGTTGGCAGCTGCTGGTAGCCATCACACTTGCGGCCGGTGCTGGTGCATCGGAGACCTGTTTCGTCAGCAAGTTCGCAACACTAAGAGGCACAGAGCTTACAGTACGGTCTGGTCTCGTCGCATTTTTTGTGTCGAACCCTAGGAACACTTAGCAAGAGATCGAAACGAACGACAACGACAATCGTACTTGCATGTGATGCAGCCCGTCCGCACCTTGGGCCGGCTGGCACGCGTGCGCTTCTTCACGACGGCGACGTCGGATCCCTGCGACATGGCAGCGAGGCTCTGGTCAGGCAGCTAGCTGGATGAATAGGCACGATGGCAGGATCAACAAAAGAACGCCCGCTCCAGCGAACGCCCGATCGATCTGGAGGACTGCTGGCCTCGTATTTGAGTCCTGCGGCGAGGGCAGGCGGTTGTACAGCGTCGTATAGCCTCAGCGTCCGCCCCCAAGGGGCCCAAGGCACGCAGCCAGTCACGGCGGCCAGGCAGCCAACACGCCGGGCCATGCCTGATTGCTGTGGCAAGAATACAACTGCTTGCGCTTCCTTCGGCAGACGGCAGTTCCTGGCCTGTTGACCCAGCGCGGTGGGGGGAGCCCCCACAGGCAGGAAGGTTAGCAATTAACCATAGTTAAGCTGGCGGATGGCGGAGATGGCTTTAACTTTGTTTTATCTGACGAAGTGATGTCTCTGGACTAATGGCGACGCATCAGCCGGTGGGATATTGCTTGGACGAGCTTCGAGAGCTGCCCCTGAGCCCCCGGGCCCAACGGTGGATCGTCCCAGCCGGGTGGGATAACGGTGGGATGACGAATTCCAGAAGCGCGTGTGGAACTGCTAAACGGGACTTTATCTGGCGAGGTAGCATGCAAAATAGCCAAAGTGCTGACAGGACGAGAATACCAAGCCTCGGGAAAGGAGCGTTGGGATCCATAGTACATGCTACCTCAGCATCGACGAAGTTCGAACGAACCATCCGCCGCATCCTGATACAACCCTATCTTGTACCAGCTGGGAATATGCTCCACACTGGCTAAATGATTTAAATCCTTGGGATTGCGTTGCTGTGGGGCTCAACGCGTTTCATCTCGATCTAGTCGCGCTTGGCTGTGATTATTCTATGCTTATTTATCCCCGAACGCTGTTGTGCCGGGAAGGGATCGACGGCCGCCGATCGCCGGCTTGCTATTTTTATTCTAGCTTATTTCGAGGTATTTGAGATAATGGATGATATGATCACTGCGTCCATGGATCAGAGCAACATTCGCCATCTCATCTTCTACGGCATCACAAGAATGACTAAAGAACAGGCAGAATGCCTTAGAAACTGGCATTAAGATAGTCTTGTTTGACCAGATCATCCTAACAACAATTACATACATGGATTCTTCAACATGAGAATCATCGTCTCGGCAGGTGTATGTACTGTACAACCATCAACGACGAAACAAAGTTGAAACCAACAAAAGCAAAGACCACAACCATGATCATCTGACCACAGGATCACGTTAGTTTTCGGTATAATATTATTATACGGAGTATTAATATGATGAGTTCATCGCCTTTCTTACCGAGGTGTCCGCCCCCACCCCCACTCAGCAAGGACCACACGGGGAGAAGTTAGAACGAAATGCTCTCTGGTCGGAGACGATGAATGGCTCTCGTTAACTTGCTCAGATGATTCTTTTACCGAATTGAGACTAAGATGGAGGCTACGGAGGAAGATGCGTGATTCCTAGTGATCCTTAGATGATGCTACTATAGCCCAACAGAATGTAATTCGATAGAAGGAGTTAGTTAGAAGGTAACACGAACATTCTGGGTGTCTTCCAACGTTTCTGCAGTTGAATTAGGAGCTGGTTGGCTCTGGTCTCTGGCTAAATAGGTAAGATTGATTGATGAAAATATATTGATTCGTTCACCTGAAACACTTACCTAGCTCTGTGCTGTAGAAAGAACCAAAGATAGAAACAATGAATCTCTAACGTTCATTCTGTGATTATTTATTGATTAATTTGAACCTCTCTCTAAGATAAACATTACGTATCTAAAATCTCGTCAATTCCTCTGAGTTCCCTATAAGATTCCGCTACGTTAGTTGGATACATTTGCTATTCCTGCACCCCCTTTCTAAATTCTGTCTGCGTCTGATTATTGGCTGAGATTGAGAATTCCAAATCAAAGAGCGTAGCAGCAATAATTAAATTACAGAAACATCAGTCCGTCTGTCTTCGTATTCTACTTATCCGTAGCTACAGCACTGTCAGCACCTTTATCCATGTCAAAGACGAAACAACAGAATAGTAGTAGCAGGGACATAGATATAAAAGCTGTCAACAGTGATGTTATCTTTCATTTATAAACCTACCACTTTGGAAATATCTTTATTTTCTACAACTAGACTTCGAACACTTTTTCTTGTTTCAAAATGAATGAATGAGTACTAGCTAGATCTCTTAGCAAAAAAATGAAGGAATAATGGAATACGTCTAGGCACTAATACGTGTAACCCTGACCGACTGACTGACTGACTGACTACAGAAATAGAAACTTTCTCGCCAACAGTACCCAAGGTAACAGCCAATGCAGGTGACATCAACTGACCTCTCTCTCCGGCAGATCCTGAAAATATCACCAATTGCTATCTCAGCATTCAGTTTGACCGCGCCATCACATCCGTATCCTTTTGTTCTTCAACTTGGAATAACAACCATTGTAAGGTGTTAAACCTTACAATTGCTGACCTGTCCCTAATGACAACTTGCAAGTCAGGCTACGTAGCCAGCCCGACTGTGCCCCGGAAGATAGACAAACTCCGCGAAAGGAATATCGGCAAGCATGTCCCTCTACCATAGATACATTACGCTTCAATACTGCGCTGTCTGTCCTTCTCGTAATTCAAAGTCCCTAGAGGAACCAACGAGTAGCCTATCAAAGGATAGAGTCGGCGTGCAGGCGTTGAAGACACGGCTAGGAAATCTCAGGTCAAATCAGAAGGAAATCAGCAAGATGTTAGACGACAATCAAGAGGAACTAGACAGCCTGGACGCTCATTATTCCAGTCACATTGTCTTTGAGGAGAGGGACGAGTAGTCTACCTTAGCGACATATTCAGGTATGACGTCAAACGAAAGGCACACTTCCATTATTTTGAAGATGCTGGATTCGTAGCAATGCTCCTAGATACCAAGCAGGATAAGAACTCCGAAAGCGCAGGAGGCGATACTTCTTGATCTCACGGTATAGAACTGGGCACTTAGGGTTAGTCTGTCCAGTGCCTTCAAAGAGCAGTCATGGAAGTGGAACTGCATGACTAAAGCATATGTGATCAAAGTCATCATGATGATCCACTGCTTTATAGCCAGGGCGCTACATATTCTCTGCGTTAACACACAAGTTCGCGAGGAATTATAATCCACTGTCTAGATGAAATGTTAAAACGGTATAAGGTAGGGATGGCTCAAGCTATGTTCCTCGTGTCTGTTGAGCGAGACAAAAGGCTACAGTGTACACTCTGAACCACTACTTTAATGAGAACTTCAGATTGCCCGCTGGAATCAGATGGCAGAACTGCTGAAGAGGAAAGCTCGCAGGGAAGAACAGCATTGCGCAGCTTCTCCTCTAATATTAACCTTATCATCAACCTCAATGCTATTAAAACTGCTACCACAAGCAAGAGCTATTAATATAGAATTCATCCAAGAAAAAAGAAATAAATACACAACATTCTTCAATCTTACTACCAAGTTGCCCAGAAACGATTTTGATTCCTCGACAATGTCTATATACCAACAAGCCGTCGATATCACACTGCCTACCATTTTTCAGCCAGGAATGAGTGAGTAAGTGAGTGAAAAATTTTGCATGCGGAGCATCTCGAAGCAAGCCAAGTAATTATCAAGGAACGTCGCGAGGGACTATTAGTGAAGAAGATCCAGTATTTGGTGGTTGCTATGCAGATCCTGAAACATTGAACTGAACTACATCCATTTTATTTAGGTACTTTTGGTGATTTATCCAACTCAGATCATGATATTACTACTTAAACCTTCCGCAGTCGAGGTGCATTCGAGAAGACTGGGAACACAGCATGCTGGCTATAATCTTGCTGTTGCCGACAGTCGGCTTCGTCCTCATTACAGCAGTAATAGTTGAACCCTAGTATTGGCATCTATGCTTATGCTTGATTGTTTCCATACCATGTCTTGGAATGGAATAATTTGTCTTTTTTTATTTTTTTAAAACAATTATAGTAATAAAAGTATTTTACTTTAGGTTCAGGTGTTAATATTTTACCCCATAAAACACTGAGACGGTTAGCCGGCTGCCAGAAACGGCGACATTCGACGCTGTTTTGCGCGTCGCTCTAACCGCCCGTTCCCGCCACGCCCGGTATCTCTTCCTGCCACGCACCCTCTCCTCCATCATGTGACTCATGGGCTCCCCTGGTGCCTGGCCCAGCCCGCACTTGCTTGCGCGCGACTGCTTCCTCAGGACCCACTGTATCCTCTATCCATCTTAGTCATTCACCATTCATCCATTCATTATTATTATTATTATAATCAGGTTTAACGTCCATACCGAGCCTTTCGGCTATGACAGACCCCGATTCTTGGGCAGAAGCCCCTATTAGTCCCTAATCCCATCTTTGGCCATTCTGAACCTTTTCCTCGCCCCAGGCCGCCTAGTTGCGTAGGGCTTTTGGGCCTTTATAAGCCCTCCTTGTTGCCAGTGTCAGTATGGGTGTC